CTCAATCACGATAACAAAATCGTTGAATTACAGATCAGGGGATTATACTTGAATCTAAAAATATCAGACTGCAAAAATATGTCACAATTGAGTTGAGACATCGACACATCGTATCTAACAACCAATGTGCAATGGGAACCGTAGTAAGTATGCAGTTTTAAAAATAATAATAATAATAATTATGATAATAATAATAATGAAAATTTCTAAAGCGCCCTATCTAAAATTTTAAAAAATACTCTAAGGTGCTGTACATGCAGCATGGTAATTAAAACAAATCAGATGCAAATACTGAAATAAAAATACAATAAAAATATTCACCATAAAAAAGGGAAATACGGAAATAGATATTAAAACTAAACAATAAATTTTAACACTCATTTCGTCTGAAAATCACGAGAAACAGATAATAAACATGATAAAATAATACAAATCGTTGCCTAGTAAATATATATAAACAAGGGTAAACCTGTCAAAAGAATAAATAAATTCAGTCGTTCGTCTTTATATCTCTATTCTATTTTAGAATGTTCTGTATAAATTCTGCTGCATATGGGTACAAAAACAAATTGTCAAGTAATGGTGCACAATAAGTACCCGTGTTAATACCGTCTGCTAAACCATCGATCTACTATACTCAACAATGTGTTGTCGATCAACGAGTCCAGCATCGTCGGTGTATTTGTTGTGACAATAAGTTTGGTTTTTCACAAAGTAAGATTTATCATAAAGCAAGAAATGTGTATCTACGTTTCTTATTTTTGTAGAAAAAAACTCTGAGTAATGAGACGACGTAGTCGATATTTCAATTGAGCATGTTGAGTTAGAGAGTTATGTTACGTAAAATACAGACACAAATGTTATAAAAATGACGTTGAGAAAACGTGTAGCATCAATTCAAATGCTTAATGAAAATGTCTTGAAAATAATACAAACCAAACTCTGTGTAATAATAAAAAACCGAACAGTTTTGTTATCTTCAATCATTAATATTTAGTATCCACAGATATTAGAAGGAAAGAAAAATTTAAGAAAACTCAGTATAAAAAAATGGATCATATAAACAAGAATAGGAAAAAAAACCAAAACACGACTCATTGTATATTCATAGAAGTCAATATGCATATACGCTAGTCCTTTTTGATTACTATAAGTCGTCGTATACAGTAAATTCATTGAAACACTGTAGCACTGTATTTCCATTACAGTATCATTTGATGCCAACGCTTTTTATTTCTATTTAATCAAAATCTCTTCCCAATAATTCCCAATAATTACTGCGCCGATCATGGCGTAAGGCTTATCTTGTAGCTCTATTTGGACGTCTTGGTAGGCAAAATATGATGTAGGTTGGACATATTTTGTCTACGATATCCTGACGATGTTAACCTTTTCTTACATGACCCTTTCCTTATAAAACTGCAAACATTCATATCGACTGGTGTTGTTAGCACAAGAGAAGTGTATTTCTCTTTTTTTCTGAAACTCTGCTACCAACGATTACCTTAGTAAAGTGTAATGGATGAAGATTTTGAGAAGAAACATATTGGTGTCTTCATTAGGGTTGTAGTAGTGTCAAAGACTGTTTTTCATGAGTAACTTCTATATAGTAATCGGCTTTGTTGGCATGTCGACAAAAAAAGTTAAGTTTTTGTTCTGATTTATCCGACGTCATGCCAACGTCTGATTCAATACTTTTACTGTGTTTTATCAAACATATTTAGGTCAATTAAAAAGTGAAACTCAACATTCAAATGAGAAAAAAATCCATTCCGTTTCTCATAATATTGTGCAGATCTGTCATGTAGATATAGTGTGACTTATCATTGCAAAACTCCTGATTCATTTTTAAAAATTCCGGAATTGTGAATATCAACATTTTTACTTAATCAATGAACTGTGTAATGTGAGTATGAATATTAGTCTTTTTTATATTTCTCCAGAGTGTGATGGACAAAGCCCATCATCACCGGTAGTACGATTAACTCATTTATTTTTTGTAATGCAATTAGAAATTTCAGATTCCTTTTCGATAAATCATAGAATATACAATTTCTACAAAACATTATTTTTTTAATTCTTGAAGTGAGTCAATTCCAAACAAATGATGTTACAAACATCTATCTTCTACCTCTTATAATTGAAATCGCACTGCGTCCAAATACGTTAAACATAACTGTGTATACCTGTCGTTAAATTATATATCAAACTGCATTTAAACAAGCTTTTTGTAGCACTAATATGATTAACAAATTTTCCTTTTATGCAAACATTATCGAATTCTCTCTCCTCTTAAGCCTGCCCAAATTATCTTTCAGGTAATAACACTCAGCAAAGATACCATGCTTATAATTTTGTACGCCAGACGCCCGTTTTGTCTACATAAGACTTATCAGTGACGCTCAAATCTAAACAGTTAGAAAAAAGCCATATTAGATACGAAGTTGTCGAGCTTAAACAACTGAAAATTCCGAACATTTGTGCCAAATACGGCTACGGTAATCTATATCTGGGTACAAATACCTTGGTGTTTCGAATAAATCAACATTTCAAATACATGTCTAAATTTACAGAAAATGAACAATAAGACCGGTTGTATTTTGAATAATACAGGATGGAAGCAACTCTGTCACGTTAAACATGTTGTATTACACTATTAAATGTTATCACATTGCTTCTTTTTTTATTCATCTTTTGCTCCATTTTTTCAGTCTTCAGCGTTCGTGAAAAACGTCTCAATTTAAAAATTTCACATTCGGTCAAGTGGAATTTTACATGACCGATTGATTAGAATTTGGTGATGTCTCAGGGTTAGATAAGAGTCAATTACCAATCCGCTTTTGCGTGATGTATAATCACTTTATATAACTTATCAACATATTTTATAAAAGTTGCACGACGGGTGTCACTTGTGGAGCAGGATCTGGTCATTCTTCCGGAGCACCCGAGATAACCCCCAGTTTTTTGTTGGGTTCGTGTTGCGCATTCTTTAGTTTTCTATGTTGTGTTTTGTTTTCTGTTGTTTGTTTGTTTTCTTTTTTTTTTTTTAGCCATGTCGTTGTCAGTTTATTTTCTATTTATGAGTTTTAATGTCCCTTTGGTAACTTCCGCCTCTCTACGAGACAAAAACAAATAGACTATAAAACTTCCAACGTAGGCATTTGGGTTGTTTTTATGTAATCATATATTACATGTTAAACAACTTGCACGTTTATTATTTGTAACGCTTGTAAGTCACCAGTTGCGCTCGAATTAGAAGAGTATTTTTGCTAAACAAAAAACGAAATTGAAGAGCATTGCAAACCAAAAATTCTAAAATTTTACCAAACAGGACTAAGGCTAAATCAAAAAAATATTTTGCAAAATCCAAACGAAATTGAACAATATTGCAAACCATTTTTTTTTAAATTTTACCAAACAAGACTTAGGCGATTTATGCGTGCTAGTTCAACAATTCAGGACAGAAAATTTTAAAAAAATGAACATATCAATGATATTTCATGTCACCACAAAAGGGCTGACTACTGAGTTGACGATACCCTCGGGGATGAAAAGTCTATCAACAGTGGTATCTGTTGCAATTGTTGTTAAAAATAATCAAAGATACAAAGCTGCTAATGTGGTTACCTGTCGCTAGTTTTACCTACATAGGACCTTCCAGTATTGCTCGTATGAAACCATTTCAACTTTTAATAGTTTATTTCAGAAACAATAGCATGGCTGTCGTTAGTCGCTGTCTAGCTTATTTGTTATTTGTTTATTGTTTTTTTACATAAAACAAGTCTTTTTTTCTTTTCATTTGATTTATTTTAATTTTGTTCATGTCGGCACATTTCAAAGCTCACTATACGGTATGGGGTTTCTCGTTGTTAAAAGCCATACAGTGATCTATACTTGCTTAAATCTACGTCAATTGGTCCTTGGTAAATAGTGGTCACATTTACAATCATGCCATATTCTTCTTGTTTTGATATGAGATCAATTGAAAACAAGAACATTACATTGTTTATTTAAACGTATTGCGTAAAATAGTACGATAATAATAATTGTCTTTGAAAACATAATTCAAAGAAAGACAGAAACAAGCTTTTTGAAATCCAGAAGTTATTTAAGAACTTCGGAATAATAGGCAGTTCTTGCCATTGTGGGATGTCTCATTACCAATGGTACCAGCAAATGTCCACTAACAAGTAGCATTATATGGTTCAATGATTTACTTAACAATGACAAAACAAATATTGACACTGCGTACGTTAAATTTTCTTCAAACACCTTCAACTTTGCCAAAAAATGCTATAAGTTTGATAGATAGTTTCGTTTCAAAAAGTATTCTTTCTTGTTAATATATGTACGTGGATACTTTGCAGGTAATTTATGTGTCAATTGTCTACATTGACAGATATAAATTAACGTAAGATCTAAGACCAGATAACTTACAAAAGTATAAACTTTGATTATCGATTGATCAGTTATACAAAAATTAAAAATAATGTCAATGTTTTATAATAGACCGTCATTTCACTTTCTACCGTTTTGCAAATTTGCTTTGATTTTATAATATATGTCAGTTCTGACTCATTTATAAAAGATCATTTACTGTGTTCCTAAAGCGATTACATTTTTTGATATAATCCATGTACAGATGATTTAATAAGAATAAGGCTTAAGCAATATTTACTTTATCCGGACGACTTGAGCAGAATTCAATAACTATGACGATTACATATCAAAACATGTATTAGGGATGACTTTTGTCGAGAGAATATGGAAAATTTCGAACACTTTTCTATTGTATATGTATTCAAACATCATCTTTGTTTTTGTAATGATAAATAAAGCTTATATGTTTGTTTTGCTACCAATTACAGACCATAGATGTGTACATGTATGAAATAAAGCAAACAAGAATGGTGTTCAAAAGTCAATAAAGTAAACATGATTTAACCAATTTAAGTTGACCTAACAAATATATTTATTGTATTTATAAAAATGTTCGCAGTAAGTCTTCCTTAAATACAAAGGTTTTCGTTATAATCCAGTTTTAGAAAATTCATACACAAAATGTTCGTTGTAAAATGTATTTTAGTAGAAAAACTATGCATAACATCATTAAAATTTCATAAAGAATTGCAAAAACCGCGTCCTTATTCAATTGTGGTGATGTAATTGGATCCGATTAACCTTCTTAGGAACAGCGAAACATACCCTATACTTTAGTCACATTTTTGTTCTATTGTCCTCAATGTTCTTTGTAATCTATTATTTATTCATCATTTTCAAAGCGATATTGTCCATATCTGTATTGTTTCTTTAGATACCGACTGCATAAAAAGTAAAATAACAAAAATACCGAACTCAAAAGAAAAGACAACAATGTGTGAACAAAACAAACAGACATAATAGGTAAAAATGTCAAAAATAGGAGCACAGCAGTCAACATTGTGTTATAATCGTAATCCCTATAAAAAACAAACATATATGTTAACAAAGAAACACAAAATGGCATATAGACAAACCACATAAGGAAAAATGAGAGAAAACAATACAAAAAATGACCATAGCACAATAACACAATGGCGGGATGTATAAGTACTGAGCCACGCAAAAAGAATATTACCAAAAATGGATTAAACATTAAAGGTAAATAATTTACAAAGACAAAAAAGAACCCTATAACACGTAATTTAGATAATAAACAACGTCAGTACCTAGAATGTATACTTCAAGACCGTCATGTATTATTTGTTAAGTTGATACGGAATATTTATCAACAAGGTCTTGGTATCTGCCGATGAACGTTTTTATGGACGAGACATTCTTAAACATAACCCTGGTTCATCAACGTTTTGCTCAGACACTGGTGACGTTTTATAAAGTCTGGGTAGCAGCTGCAAGCTGTTGAATACCGAATGAGTTGGGAAATGTATATGCGATATGCAGGTGAAGTTGGTATATTGCTACTAAGATGGGGGAAATTGATAATTTCAAAATTAAAATCGTCTCGTTGTCATAGATTCAGGTACTGAGATGAGATGACCGCTGATGTCAAATTCGAGGTATAAGTCTAAAATTGAGGCTGAGGAAGCCGTGTCTGTTATTTCTTTAATTTCTAGTTCTGGAGGATTTATTAATGGAACCCAATCAGATAAGTTTGGATAATAAGTTGAAGAGAATATAAACAACTAGAAACACCTGTAAAATTAGTAATTTGTAAAAGGCTATAGGTCCATGTTCACATATAATGCTGTTTCCCTGTATTGTATTTGTATTTCTGAAATAAACGTAAAAAAGCAAAATTTACTTTTCAATTTTGGTACGGAAAAACAGATATAAAGTATACGTCAACGAGACATCACCCAACACAACTATAATTGATAAAACGAATTCTTATTGGTTCTTATTAAATCTAATTTTGCAGAAATAGTAGCACTTTATAATATACAAACATGATATATGCAAATCATAAAATAAATATTTAAGTTTAAATGTATTGCAGACCTTTTACAGTAACAAAGGTACAAAACGAGAGCTTCAATTTTCCAATGGTCTTAATTAGTTTGATCGATACCAATTACTTTTTTCAAGTTATCCAAAAAAAACCAATACACTAATTCTTCTTTTGTCTGTAGTAAATCTATAAAGTGACATTTTCCTTTCTTTGTTTTCATTCTGGTTACAAAATTATTGCTTCTTTTTTATTTGTCGATCAGGTTATTGGATGGTTTATCAATCACAATTTAGTATTTGCATCTGAATTATCTATCGAAGATGATAAGTATTTATAGAAATTGCCGAGCCTAAAAAAACTTCGAAATGCTAAACAAATTAACATAATTTTAGTAATTATAATAATATTTCATTTTCGAGCCTTCCACATACCTTTGTCTGATTTTTTCATATTTTCGTAAATTTTACCAGCTGTATTGCTCGTTCCTTCACAAAAATCTTTATAAGAGTTCGAGCTGTACAAAGAGAATTACGACAAACAGTATACATGAAGCTACATGATTGTATATTTGTTTATGGAGATTATTTTTTTAAGTATGTTACTGAAAGCAATAATTCATTTTGATAAAGAGATAGAAAGTTATATTTGAAAAGCCTATATATTTTCTTTGAAGCCAAACGTCGAATGGGAATAACAAAAGAACATACTAAGTAACCTTACTTGCATGACGCTACTTGATGGTATAGTTAATTGCAAAATAATTATAATTAGCTTCTTTTTTTTGTTGGTTTTAATTGGATGGGGGATTTTGCAACATAATTCCAGAATAGAGAAGAGTAAAACTTGACTGAACGAATACCTTCTTTCTGGAATCTTTTGTGGTTGTTTATCATCTAGAAAATAATAAATCAAACCATTTTGTAGCAATTGTATTTCAATGCATATCGTTTTTAATAAAATATTGTTCTCTCATTTTTTGTTTGTTTCTGATCTATCTTTTGAAAATTGTAGATGAGAACCGGCTCTCTCCTTGATCGCAGTAATATTCACTTTAACTGGTTTTTGTGTTGAATAAGTGTTACTCATTTTTGTTTTAGAAAATATCCAACGACCGATATAAAACTTCTTATTTCATTGGTTATGAATACCATTTTCTTTCCTTTAACTTTAATCACTTGTGTTAAGAAGTAGATGGGTTACGCCTTCAGGTATATAATTATTGCTTCTTTACAAAGGTATATCTATATTTTTTCATGAACATCAGTTGTCAGTATGAAAGCCTTTATCTTCAATGTACTCTAAATATTACGCTACATCTATATTTAAATCTAAAACGGCTATAGTGATAGTAGCAATACTGTTTCATAGTATGGTATATTATTATTCAATATCTAGCTATAGCCGAAAGATAGTAATCATTTTAACAAGTTTGATCCATCAATAACTTGATCAGTTTGCTACTCACCCGTTTCAATATCTTCTAACTCATTATAGAAATGATTGTCTGTCTGTGGCGTTCGTCTGTAAATGATATGAAAGAATAGAATTTTTAAATTTAACTTGCATTAAAATTAATCATATGAAAATCAAACAAGCTAAACCTTTTTTAATTACACTATTTAGTCATGATCCTTTTAAAACACCATCTTTCTTATGCAATTAGAAACACCGATTCTTACCATGTTGCAATCCCTTATGACTAATCACAATATCAACTTCGATTTTGCCTGATTTGTACAAAAATTAGCTCAGCATTACTAATAGTGTCCGCCATGTTTCGATATTCACAAGGTCATGGATGTATTTACACATGTTTCAATTGTTTTTATATCATGCAAACTCTTTACATTTTTATTAACAAGCATGCTGAGACTAGATATGATATTTGCGCGTTACCGCTTTATTTTAAACGTTTGCATATAAATATTTTCCTATTTCAAAACACTGAAATAAACTTCATCATCCAAATATATGATTAACATTTATATAAAAATCAAAAGATGTTGTATGATTGACACTAAGACAACTCTCCACCAGAGACAAAATGACGTATAGTAAGCAACTATAGGTACCCGTATGGCCCTCAACTATGAACAAAACCAATACCGCAAAGCAAGCTGTAAAAGGCACAAAAGTAACAAATTCAATAAACAATTCAAACGCGAAATTAACAGACTGATTCAAGTATAAAACAAAAAGTGAATAACAAATATACTATACAGCAACAAACGACAACGACTGATTCCTTACTTGGGACAAGCACATACAGAATGTGGCGGAAATATATATGTTAGCGAGCGCTCAATCCTCCCCAAATATGAGACTTGCTTGGTTGTATGATATATCATTCTGTCTTGTTGCACGTTTGTCATCTGTTGCGGTTCAGACAGTTCTTTAGTTACATACGTTAATACATAATCATCAGATTTGTCAAGTTATTTAAAACCAAAATAATGATTCCGATGTCAGCCCGTATCTAAAACTGACACACTTTAAAAAAGAATGAAAGTCAAACAAATTTGGAATAAGGGGTAACTTAAGGCTGCATTAGTTTACCTATGTTAAAATCTCATCAATTGATTAGGAAGAAACAAATCGGGGTAACCGAGGGAATCGCATATACTTCAAAAGGAGCGAGACCGGGTTAATCAGCTAGCACGCCTGATATTAGCAAATTTTCTGGAGAACCATAATCATTCTAGACAAAAAAGGAAAGGACATTCTTGAAAAAAATGGGAGTCAACACAGCTTCGAATTATATTCTAGGAAAATCAATTTTAGTTTGATAACTTATTTTAAGAATTTGATCAATCTTTATACAAAATATAAAAAAATGACTGAAAAGTTATGACGAAAATGCAAAACACGAATTGGTTCCGGTACACATAGTTCTCCATATACAATATACATGCACTGCTAATCGCATTGCTTCCTAAGTGTCTGCTCTCGTTTTTCTTAATATCGCAATCGTTTTTAGTTTTACAGACACTAGTCTACGGCCAAAAATGGGAACGGTATGTAACACACATCTCGCGTTTGACTTTTCGGCAAATAAATTACAACATTCTATGATAAAATTGATGAGGACGTCAAAGCAAAAGTGGAATCATACTGTCACAAGAACTTACTTTACGTAAACGACACGCGTTTGGAAAAACATATAAACTCGCTGTTCACTTTCTTCATTGTATTTCTATTCAATGTGCAAACTAAACTTTCGATCAATTACAAATTTACTTTGATATCAGCACTTAAAAACGACAAACAACATTCAATGAACCACTACACAGAATGTTAAAGATGAATAACTAATACTGTTGATAAAACAAACATATCACGAGATCAGCTGCGTCAACACTGGAAGCAACTATTTAACTATCTGTTCCTTGACTACTTCATCAACAATATTTGCAAAGCATTGACTTTACGAGATACAAATTATAATTCTAAGCAGCATTGCTACTATGGTTAAATCGTTTCGGGTAACGTTTTACAAAAATACCTACGTACCACGATGCATCTGGATAGCAAATACATTGGCGTTAACAGGAAAGAATATTGCGTTCATTTGCACAAAAATTGTCTCGTTGTCATGAAATTTAAACACTGATTTTCTGAGAATTTAATTCATTCACTCTATTACAATTACCGAATATATAACGCAGGGTGAGTGAAATTTAAGCCAACAGTATGACTATGACAGAAAACAACAACAAACCTGTCAAACTTAACTCAAAAAAGACTAACTGCATATGCATATTGGAGCAAATCGAAAGCACTAAAACCTGGAATGAAAGGTTTTCCAAAAAGGTTTGATGTTGAATTCATAAATCTTTCCTCGTGTTCCCATCTCCAGTTTGCAGAACAAAATGTCAGACTTGATGCCTCAATATCATACACTGTATACTAAAATATTCTACTTATTAAATAAATGAAGAATGAAAATAACACTATAAATGTATCCGCTCGATGTTTGTTTCTGAATTTTCCTTCAACAGGAGCGCTCAAACATCAAATTCTAAACACCAAGAATTTATAAAAAAAATTACAACTACTTTTATATGACCAAAGGAAATATAAAAAGAATAGTCAAATCCACCTATGGTCAACGCTTCTGAGAGAATATGAACGTAGTTGCTTCATAATTTCAAAATTAAGCAATAGGAATTTTACAAACTTTACGACAAAAGAGATGATTCCATTTCTAAGTAGCAACGTTTCAGCAGCGCCTGCATAATCGGTAAATCAATCTCTGATGCATGATTTTTTATTATTAATTGTTTTTGGCTTTTAACTAGGTAACTGCGAGTACTCTCAAATCGTACTTTTGTGTTAATTTGACCTGTTGATACAATTTGTAATGCATTTTTGTTATTTAATGTTTACTTATTTAGTGTTATATCACGTCTCACTATTTTTAATATATACCACATTTGAGAAGTGTTTGGTAGGACTATAAATTTTCATTTCTGTTCTCGTACTATGAACCACAACAAAACTTATTTTGTAAAAAAATATTTCCGTACTTCATGAAGACCTTACAACTAAACTATTTGTATTTACCTGTGTACGTTCTTTTATTTGGCGGCATTTTTTCCAAGGTCATGGTTGTCTTTCTGATATTGTTTTACTTCTAACTTCATTTTTTTTTATTAATTTTGTATTTACATTGTGTCATAGCCCTTTATAGCTTGCTGTTCGGTGTGAGCCAAGGCTCCGTGTTGAAGGCTGTACTTTGACCTATAATGGTTTACTTTTACAAGTTGTGACCTGGATGGAGAGTTGTCTTATTGGCACTCATACCACATCTTCTTATATCTATATATCTCCCAGTTGATGCGATATTCTAGGTCTTGTATTTCCTATCATGATTTCTTTGATAGAGGGTTGCTGCTCACAAGGAGGCTATTTAACTTAGAATTCCAAGTGGTGAAGTTGAAATCGCCTCTTCGTCAATTTTACGGTTGCCATCATGAGGACGTTGACCGTTGTGGAGTATCCTTTTCAAAGATGACAACGGATATGTACCCAATTGTTGTATCTTCAATCCCGTCCCCTTTTCCCCGAATGTGACATACTGAATTAGACTTATCTCCGAGTTTGTACTAACATGAGCAACACGACGGTTGCCACATGTGGAGCAGGAACTGCTTACCCTTCCGGAGCACCTGATATCGACCCCAGTTTTTGGTGGGGTTAGTGTTACTCAGTCTTTGGTTTTCCATGTTATATTGTGTGTACTGTTGTTTGTCTGTTTGTCTTTTTTTTAGCCAATGAGTTGTCAGTTTATTTTCTACTTATGAGTTTGAATGTCCCTTTGGTATCCTTCACCTCTCTTTTACACAGAGTATGTTATTTTTAGTATCGAAGTACTAATTGCTATGCTCAATAGAAATAGTTTTTATTTGCAATCTACCAAATAACGGCTACAATTTAACAAGACTTGATACGCAATCGAAGCCCTGCTTTACCATGTTTACTTCAACGAATTAGAAAATGTGTCACACTATTATCATGTCATGTTAAGTATCCTCCCGGTAAATTGTGCATTTTTATTCGACGGCGAAATTGATAACTCATTATTATTAGGTAACTTTCACTTCATTTGTACATCACTTTCACCCTTGTTACATAAGTGAAATCTAGGCCAACAGTATGACCATGCAAGAGCACAATAACAAACAGTTCAAACTAGAAACAGTACAACTAATCGCATATTGTAGTTAATTGGACGCCACTAAAATCTTCAAAATTTAGCAATCGATATTTTACGGAGGGTACGTTATTTTCATATCAGTATCAAAGCACTAACTCCTCACCTCAATAGAAACATTTTCAATTTCAAATATACACCAAACAAAAAGTTCAATATAACAAGAATTGATACGTTATCGAAAAAAGTAAAATCACAAAAATACTGAACTCCGTGGAAAATTCAAAAAGGAAAGTCCCTTACCAAATGACAAAATCAAAAGCTCAAACACACCAAACGAATGGATAACAACTGTCATATTCCGGACTTTGTACAGGCATTTTCTTATGTAGAAAATGGTGGATTAAACCTGGTTTTATAGCTAGCTAAACCTCTCACTTGTATGACAGTCGCATCAAATTCCATTATATTGACAACGATGCGTGAACAAAACAAACAGACACAATAGGTAAAAATGTCAAAAATAGGGGTACAGCAGTCAACATTGTGTTATCATCTTAATCACTATAAAAACAAACAAATGTATCAAAAAAGCACAAAAAGGCATACATCAAATTTAACATCCTCATTTTGTTTTTTTATTATACGATTTCATTTATCTATGTAAAATCAACCCATAAAGGATTGAAGGTTTTAAATACTGGCGTAGATTTGCGCGTTTGACGTCAAACAGGTAGCCCTCTTTCGTTCTACTTATTAGAAAATAAGTAACACGACTATCATGTAATGTATGTTGTTCACAGATACATACTACCTTAACAGGGGATGTGGTCCATACAAAAAATGGTCCAATAGAATTATGAGGAGAATGACTGCAATGGACTCCTCATAAGTTTACTGTATTCATCACGAATTGGTTGACGGCTGCGATGTGTCGGTGGTTGAAATCACTAGTGCAATGTTTTCGCGGTCTGATATCTTTTTTTACTGAATGTGAATTTGCATGGCGAGCGATGCATGCAAAGAAGGTGACGCTTACCCTGTCGACGCATCCGGTTTCGCTCTTTTTGGAATTCATGCAATTCCCTCAGTTTCTCTCGGTTACCTTGATTTTTCTCTTCTTATTTGATTTACGAGATTTGAATATATCAATAAATTACTATCTCCTTAATTTAGACATTGTTTATATTCTTATATAATAGTTGTTATCAAACTAAACTTATGTATGAGGCGAGATAACAATTTTTTACCTTGACTTGTTTAATTCTGTTTCATATACTCTGCTGTTGCTCTGTTCTTTAGAAAGATGAAAATATTGGGAGATATGGAGCATACCTCAAAGATTCATTCATCTGGCATCAAATAAAACTAAATTATTCATGGTTATTTCCTCTCAACAATTATGTAACATTTATCGTAATGTGTTCTGTGTTTAGCTAATTGTTTATGTTATTGCTGTATTTGTGTGTATGTGCATTTAGCAATGATGTATTTGGACAAATTGTTACAAATTTGTTTATATCTTTGATCGGTCAGCGATTTGATGACATGTTTTCTTCAATGCATTTATAGCATAATCTACAATTCGCGTAGAATTGCATTCAAACTCAGTCTGGTGTTTGAGGCTATCTTGAATATACAACTAAGTGTTAAGTGTGAGCTTTTTATTAATGTTTATAAACTCTCTTTTTTCTTCTCCAGTACTTATGTTCTGTTTTGTGTATTGTTGTTTGTCTGTTTGTCTTTTTGTTGTTTGTCTGTTTGTCTTTTTGTTGTTTGTCTGTTTGTCTTTTTGTTGTTTGTCTGTTTGTCTTTTTGTTGTTTGTCTGTTTGTCTTTTTCTTATTTGGCCATGGCGTTGTTATTTTATTTTCGACTTAGAGTTTGAATGTCCCTTCGGTATATCTCGGCTTTCTTTTGATATAAAGAAATTTTTCAAATTATATAGATATAAGAAGATGAACATTTTACAACTTGTACAGGTCAACAGAAAAATTGAATATTTGCTCATTTTTCCATAAAAATGAGTACCTATAGAGGTTTTTTATTATTGTCCCCGGCAAAATTTTGTACCTTTTGTCTTAGACATTCGACGTTTTCTGTACAGAAAAAGATTTAAAATGGTAATTCCGATTATAAAAATGATAACAGTAATCCCTGTTCCTAGACCAACTGCAGTAGCATTGATTGAATCTTCATGCCTTTGTAACACTACAAGAAGAAAACTTAAGATTAGAAAAATTGTGAAACTTATTTCGAAATTCCGGGCGTCTCTAATGAATTCATGTATATCTCAATATTTTTAAGCGGTTTCAGTGGACACAATGCGAATTTCGTATAAAAAGTTGATAAAAAAGTATAACAAAAATACCGAGATCCATGGCAATTTCAAAAAGGGGAATTCCATAAAAACTGACAAAATCAAATGCTATTAATCAACGGAACAAATGTAAATCAATTGCCATACTCCTTACTTGGTACAGTCATTTTCCGAAGAAAATGGTGGGTTAAACCTGGTTTTTATAGCTAGCTAAACATACCACGTGTATGACAGTATTTTATAGTTCCGTTGCATTGACAAAATTGGGTCAGCAACCCAAGCAGACATAATCGGTTAATGTGACAATAATTACGATCAAGCAGCCAAAACTGTGTATACATACAACACAACTGACTAAAAAATTCAAACAAACATACAAATCAATCTAACATAGACGCCAACAAAAAAAGTGTAGTAAATTTGACAATGACGTCAACAAAAAAAGGTTTTGTCTTTGATAGTACATACCGTATCTAGTATACACTTTCTAAATAAAGTAAAAATTCAGTAAATATAATTACAAAGATAAACAAAATAGAAACGATACTGTAAACAAATTTTGTCCGAATTGCACATCGCTATCCACCTGCACCAGAAATGTCCAAAGCTAAAAGTCAAAAACCCTTTGGCGGGTTACGTCATACGACCAAAAGAAACATAATAACACGACGACAAATAACGGGGAAACAAAGGTAAAATAAAAAGACTTCAGCAACTAGAATCTATAACTCAAGACAATCTCGTATTGTTTGTGAAGTAGACACTGAATATATATCTATTAGGTCTTGGTATTTTTCGAATACAATACCGTTATCTCTATTTTAATGCAAAATAAACAAATCAGTCCGTTTTAATTATTATTTAGGTGTATAAAACCAAAATTCCTCGAACATGATATCATCGTCTTTCGCAACTCAACAGGGTGACTACACATGTTTGGCGTGAATTTTAAACACCGGTCGTTTGCAGGCTTCTTGTACGCCTCAAAATGTAATAAATAAGATAAAAAGAACATTTTTAGGTGAAAAATGTTAGTTTTTAATTTATTATTGTTATTATATGAGGGATGGGGTTAAACGGAACAACCAAAAACAGTATCGCTTGCAAAGTGCTTTAATTTCACGGTTGACAAAAACAACCGTATTTGTCTAACTAGAATCAAAACATTTCATGAAAGCCGTTTTTGTTTCAGTGGGTTGGGTATTTATATTCGTATTTTATCCAGAGCGATAATCGAATATTAATGCCAAACCTATGGTTAAATGAATACAAATCTGCGGCTGCCATAAATTATTTCTTAAACAATCGCTTCGAACGCAGAACAATTGCCATGTTTGAAAGAATTAATACCAATGAGTGTATTCTACATTTCTTCAATTGTTACAAAACTAAAGTTGACGACTTGTACTTTACTCGTTCAGAGAGATACAATAACGGTAACATTGCATAATAGCAAGACACTACATAATTCCATCTTAAACTACTGAAAACACTGTGGCATTTTGTTATAATTGAATCAATATCTCCACTGTGGTTATCGTAAGGTTCTTATTACATAAAATCATAATAATCAACATTAACACAAAAACTAAAGTGAAAAAGGAGAAAATCCACGCACAACTACAATCAAAATATTGTATAACAAAATGGTACAATATTTAATACAGTTTTCAATTTTGAAGTATATTCCCAATTTAAATGCATAAAATGTTCTTTTAACATAATACCTTAATAGCTTCTAACTTCCTTAATAAACATATATAACACTATCTTCAGGTTTGTTCTGTATTTTTATCGTAGATTTTACTTACTTTGGACATTGACATAAAATATTTCCTCTGATGTCCTGTTCCCTGTGGGATGTCCCGGTGCTGTTATAGTGTTCATAGCATGACAAGTGTAGCTATCACTTGACCCTCTTTGAATGCTACTTATCGTAAAATTCGTACCATAATAAATGAATTCTGGTTTATTTTGATGTGTCCACCATACAGATATAGGATCTGGATTAGCATCAATAGTAGGGGTAATTTTCAGATTACTCCCCTCTGTGATATTGTAATCTGGTATTTCTAAGATGACTGGTTTGACTATAATGATAAATTTTGAAATTGTTTATACATCTTATGATTATGAACTCATTTTTTGCTGTAATGTTTATAAAATTATTTTTGACAAAAATTACATAAATGTACTTTTAACATACGTTTCAGAACAGTAAATAATAGTTGCTGAATTTGTACAACCTTTTTATGTTAATTTAAATTAAATTATGTTCACGTTCTGACAGAAGTAACCATTAACGCTCAAACTATTTAAATAAGTAATGGTTTCCATATATTTTTTTGTTCACCTTTTGCAGTTTGAATAAAACAATATTCAGTAAATATTGGAAAAATAGAAATGTATGAAGCTTGGTTTGTTGTTTAGCTGTCAGGGGAGATAATTGAAGAGCCTAAAGTGGCCCAGTCAACAAAATTGTAAAATATGTTTGTTTTTATTTCATTTATTCTGATTTGGAACTACATTCTCTGATTTAGAAAAATATATATTTCTAGGGCTCTCTCCAACACCCTTCTACATATTACATTTTCAGGGAACTATGGATACATACATAAAATATTAATTTCTCTATCTTGTGATCGGACACCTTCTGCGTCTACATTAGCAGCTGTGCAGTAAATTGTCTTCCCAGTGTCAGTGATATTGCCGATGTATATTAAAACACTTGATGATATCATTTTGCTATTACATCCAGGATTACATTTATCCTTCTGAACAATAGCATCATCAGTTATGTTGACACCAGAGATATACCAATGTATTCTTGATGACGGTCGACCAGCATCAGTTGTACAAGCAAAATGTTGGCTTGAACCGGACAAAATGTCTGTTGGGTTAATATCATTTGGAATAGCTTTTAAACTGACTTGTTTAATCGGAACTGAAAATCAAAAAGAAAAGAGTCAGTTGTACATGTATACTTGATAGCAATGTATCTTGTATATATTTTTTTTAATTTTATTTGAGTTGCCTAAATGTTTATTTGGACTTAACCATTGAAATTAAAAGTTTAAATTTTCATAACCTAATAATTTAAAATAAGTTTCATTAATTGATACCAGAAAAAACCAAATGATGAACAGTTAGCATAACATCGTTATTAGAGTTATCTCCCTTACACCATACCATTATTTTATCTGGCTTGTTGACGAATTGGACAAAATGATGGACATAATGCAATTGATTCAAATCTATAAAAATATGCATTTATTGTAAATGCAACTTGTCCATGTAAAAAAGTGCTTTCCCAACCATTCACGAAACTCAAAATAACTTGACATTGCGTGACCGTCGGAGAGTTGGAGTTAGATTGAATGGCCAGTAAGAATTTTACCCACAAGTTTTTACTCCACACTGTTCAAAGAAATCAAATGCAGCTAAGATTTTATTTTATAAAAACTTGAAAACGGCACATATTAGATACTTTAAAACAGAAATTTCGATATGGAGCGTGAATACTAAACACAGGTTAATATAGAGTACAACTGTGACATTTCTTTTTATCTTATATGGAAATTGCATAAGCATACAGTTTAATGCAAAAAGAACGAAATTCGTCATCAGTAGTACACATAAAAAAATTCTCGATAAAAATGAATAAGCATTTGATGTCCTTGTTACGGACATTCGTGCTAAATTGTCTCTTTTCAAGTTAAGTTTAAACGATATAAGTTAAAGATACAACAGTTCAAACTTGTCTTTTGTGTACGCATAGTGGTGTTTAAATGAAGTGGAAAGAACATAGCGTACAGTTTTCTTAAATAGTACCTTTAATGTAAACTTGTATGAAAACAAATATTTTGAAAAAAAACTATTTGTTTGTGTGACATAAAAAACACACATAATTCTTAGAACAGAAGACAGTATTTGATTAGTGTAAACTGTGAAAAAAGGAAAAGGAACTTCCATTATGCATATAAAAAAAATTCACCTGAAATAGAAATATTGAATGCGACCAATTTTCTAATATCCAATAGATTAATTTATTTCACAACATTCAAATAAAGACATAGTATTCTTTCACAGTGTTCAATCATGGAAACCAGCGGAGTTTAGCTGGGGCGGAAGGACGTTATAGTAGGGATACATAAGTAGCTGCCTCTAATCATCAGAGACCAAATAAACAAAAATAAATAAAAATAGTTCTTAATGCACAAGATTCATAATTTCCGTAGACAATAAATATCGATAGGTTATATTTGTTCCAATTTGTTTGAAAGAAAATATTATTCTTAACGTAATAATTTGGTCGATAAATCGAACTGATAATCTTTATGAGACATGATTTTTAATTCGAAAGACGATGACTATTCGGATGGAAACGAGACGTCGTGAAATCCATGTGGCGAAAGTGATCTAGTTTCGACATTTTTTGCGTTAACAACTCTTTTCAAAATGTGTGTTTTTTTTTTTTATCTATTATGGTTTTCAACATATTTGACAAAAACGCTAACAATTTGTTAACATCGTCCAATAAGGAATCCACGGACGATTTCAACAATTACACTCAAATTGTAGATAATTTTTTGTTGATCATTTTTGCTTATTTAAGTTATTATTATTTTTTTCTGTAGTTTTTAAGATATTAGGCAAACACGCAAAACATTGGTAAATATCGTCATTAAAACACAATAACTCCAATAAGGGGACTTATGTGTAGATCGTGTCTTGCTTATCATTTTTGCTATTAGAGTGTCTCTCTGCCTATAACAAATGTATAGTTTTCAAGATAATAGGTAAAACACTAAATAAAGGTAAGAATCGTCATTAAAGAGCAATAACTTCAATAAGGAGTCTTCGGGCGATTTTATCAATTTGATCTATTTGTAGACCTTGTCTTTTTGATCCTTTTTGCTAATTTAAGTTTATATATATCTATTATACGTTTTAAGATATTAGACAAAAATGCAATCCATTGGTAAAAACTACCATCAAACGACAATAACTTCAATATGGAGTCCTCTGAAAATATCAGCCATGTTAACGTATTTGTAGATCTTTTGGCTGATCAGTTTTGCAATTTAAAGGTTCTCTTTATCTATTACAGTTTTCAAGATCATAGGCAAAATGAAACAAATTGGTGAAATTCGTCGTTTAAAGAAAATATATCATATAAGAAGTCGTCTGACAGTATTGATGTAAATGGACGGTAGGCAGATTTCAACATTCTTAATATTTTTGCCTTTTCATACATTCTCTATTTATAGCGGTTTACAAAATGATAGACAAAACTTGCATTTTATCTCTTTGTTTTACTTAAAGTCATATCGGGCATGTTGGTTTTAAAATTAGAAACCCCAATCAAGATTGTTGCCAAGTATGATTAAATTTGGCTAAGTAGTTTCAAAAGAGAAGAATTTTGGTACAAGTTAACGGTCGACGAACGACGTTGGACGCCAAGTGATTAGAAAAGCTCATTTGGCCCTGTAGGCAAAGTGAGCTTTACATGTGAATAGTAACTCCAAATTAACTCAACATTATAAGAAAAAAAGCTGTCCTAACAGTATTTTTCTTTTAATGCAAATGTTGGATAGTAGATTACGATACAAATGCAGTAAAATAATTTAAAAATGAAATTAAATTTTTTTGTGGTCTCTTTCACGTTATGTTTTTGTACTTTATAGTGTTCTATACCTTTAAAATTAGTTTAATTCTGAAAGTAAATCGCTAATGCGTCCATTTATTATTGTGACTTTTGGAGAATGAACAAAAATGCATGATTTATTATTGCGATTTCAGGAAAATCTGCATACAGATATATGTATAAGATATCAGAATGTGAGTTCTTATTATTGCAATATTCACCAAGTCGCATTGTTCGCATTAATAAAAAAAAAACATCGCAGTAATTTCTGAGTTAAAGTCCTATGTATAAGACATAAGATCAGATAGATTATTCTCATCTGTACAACAGCTGACATCAAATCCTAAAGAAGTATGTCTTTACCGTATTCTACTTACCATTGACATATAACATCACCGTGTCAAAATTACTGCTTCCATACACACCGGAACATTTCCATTGAGATCCATGTAAGTTGTCTATATCAAATGTTCCAGGTATCGTCAAAATGATGGTGGTATCGTTACAAGTACAAGTATAGTTTAGATTATTACTATACAATCTGCAAGGTAATCGAAAACGGCATTCGCGTATGGTATCTCTATATATAGCCACAATGTTCTCGTATGAAAAAAAATTGCAACTGAAACTAAAGTCGATTCCAGTAGTAGCCTTGTCAGAAGAGGTTGTCAATATATTTGCTACAACAAATAACATTTCGTAATTGTAATGAATGCATTTATGCATAATGTTATTTTTACAAGCAGCAGATCAGTTTCTTCAGTTTTGAATAAAATTCATGATTCTGATTGTGTTGTTTTTATCCTCATAGAATAGTAATGTGGGGATGATTACGACTCCAAATATTGCATTACCCTCTCCCTTCCTTCTCTTTATTCTTTGATTTATCGAACATACTCTATTAAGTTACATTGCAAACTTAAAATTACCTGGCGATCGGATTACACTTTTTTCTGGGTTTTAAACTAGAGCCTGTGTCGCTCATCTAGGTCTTTGTGGATCATCAACAATGGACACTCTCCAACATTAAAGACTTGAATAGAATTCCTGACAAATAATCTCTTTTTTGTTGATTATATATTGCTGATATTTTTTTTCTGTTTAAAGTAACTCTCTATCTTCTTTAGTTTTTGCCTAAAAAACTACAAAGTGTAAAACAATCGTCATTAAAGGACAATCACTCCTATATAAAGTGTCTACTAACGATTTCGGCAAAATTTAACATCAATTCTCTGTAATAATAGACCAAATATGAAAAATTTTGGCCAGATTATTTTTTTTCGATTACTTTATTTTTAAGTTTAAATGGTCCAAACTAACAATCAAATTAAAACAAAATCAATAAAAAAAATCTGTTTAGTCTGGTTGCCATGGAAACAACGTGACATCATATGTTTAATTTAGTAAAGCAAGGAGAAATGGCTAACATTGTATTTTATGGTAAGAATGAGATAAAGTATAACATTTTTTGTTATTTTAATGGGTATAAAAGAAGATTTCAATCATTTAAACTGCTAACTGACAAATTTTTCGAATAAAAACAGTTTTTTGGTACATAAGGTGGTCCACTTAACACAAAAATCGACATGATTTTTGTCATTTTTTACATCTGGTTTTACCGAAAACGCAGACATCCTCACATAAAAGACTATAAAATTTATAATTATGGATGTTTTGTCAACAAATTGCTGCAAAAGAATGTTTGGGTAAATGTTGCAGAAAGTTGCCAATAGAGGAATACTAGCCATTATAATTTACCCTAAAATTCTATTTTATTTAGGTTCTTTTTGTAAATAAATATTTTATATGAATATTTTTATGATAAAATAGTCCTTTCTTATGAAAAAAACTATTTTAGATGTATTGAGGGTAATTATATCATATAACATATTCCAGCAATTAAAAATTTCATGCTCAAACTAATCTAGATGTAATGTTGAAATATGAGTTATTTCCCCTTTTTGAAAACCTTCGTTCAGGAGATAGAAAAAACTGTAGCAGTAACATTCCAGCAGACAACTTGATTATACTATTTCTGGATCACTATTCCTTGTTTGACAGCTTTACAACAATTATCATTGAAATATTCCACAGATAGTGACATACTGAATTATGAATGTTGCCTGTCCATTTTTAAAACAATTTCCGGACATAATTTGTGACATTTATTACACTGAAATATCATATTGAAACTCTGAGTATTGAAAACTTTCAACTATGAAACACAAGGTACACGTTTAAAAATTAACTTAATAAATTGTGTAACCGTCATCTGAAACATATTGAAAGCCTAATAGAGCTCAGAAAAAGAAAAACCACTTGTGAAGTTCTAAATGTGATCAATGTACATAACTTTTGAGAAACTGTCAAGGAGCAAGAGAACAGCCATAAGGCATAACAGCCTCGATAACAACAGACCGGAAACTTAACATCGACCAGGTTCTTCTTGTCCACAAACATGCTGGATATGTTTTGCCAGTTGGAACATGTAAGAATTATTTGTTTATATATATATTATATATGTTCATCTTCCTCAAATGAAATATTCTGTAATTGCCCTATATAACTATATAGCTTGCAATGTATAAACCCTTGGGGGTAACTGTAGGAACCGAGACTGGACATGTAACACTTTTAGTACTTGTAGAGCGGTTTGAGGGGGGGGGGGGGGGGGGGGGTGGCACATTTACACCCAAGCTTACCTTGTAATGTATAAACCCTTTGGATTACTGTAGAGCTCAGTGAGACAGAACAAGTACTAGTAACACTTTACAAAAATTTCCAAATATATTTCCTCAAATTTAAACTTTGTAAATAACATGGTTTTAGTTATATCAAATTAATTAAAATTAATCAAATTCAGTTGTAAAAGAATCATTACACGGTCATAATAAAAATATTACCGTATTATAATTGTTTACATATTTTCATATTGATTAATCTACACTCGCTGATTATCTCCCATTATTTCAACTTAATATAGATATTTATGTATCTACAATAATGGAATGCCAAAGTGCCAACACTGTTCTATTTTAAATTACTTGGTCTGTCTCATTGGGGTCTACGGTTACCCGAAGGGTTTATTTTAACAATTGTTTGATAATCAAATGATGTGAATTTGTAATAATATGATGTCAGTTTACTTTTTTGATGATGTGCACAGGACATTTATTTATATAATGTACTCTAATATTGGTCTTAATGCCAAATAAAAGTAAAATCATAACTGAAGTGTACAGAAATTTTCGTTCCGATAAAACGCAAATTATTTGTTGCCTATTTTAACCCAATAATTAGGTTCCTTGATCTTGTTTTCTGTATTTTACTGTCATTTAAAAGATATCGATCAAAGTCAATGTACATTTGTAACACATTCATTTGACAATTTATTTTTCAGCTATTTCCAGAAATTGTTGACAAAAACTTTTGTCTCAACAGCACATTGAACATGAAAAAGATTCTACAGATGAAAGACAGACAGAAAATGTATGCTAAAGAAAAATATTTATTCATGCTTTAATATGAATTATAGTCTTTTAATTTCGCCATTTAAAATTTATATATAATGTAACAATAACAATAATTGATTCTGATTCAGCAATTTGTCATAACTCATATATATATCCTAGACTAGAAAGCTTGAAATTGAAGACACTAAACAAATGACACCGATTATTCCTGCTTCATACTTAGACATTTACTTTCAAATCAAGACTGCTGGTAGATCACAATGAACAATTTATTACAGATCTGATGATTTTAATTTTCAAACTTCCCATTTATGTTAAGTAATACTCTAGCATCACCATTTATCATCAATATATGGAATTTATGTATCCAAATTTATATGCTACTCCACAGCTAATTCTTTTTATCTGTATTTTGTTGAGATTGATTGTTGGTTGCTTTACGGCCAGTTGCAAATATCATGAATATTCCATGCATGTTCAGGACGAATATTGAGAGAGGAATACCAATTTTGTAACAATGAAAAAAAAGGTTAAGCATATGAGGAAAAACACAATAAACTTAACAACAAATTGATATTCTAGCTCCTTCACAGCAAATTCTTTTTATCTGTATTTTGTTGAGATTGATTGTTGATTGCTTAACGTCCAGTTGCAAATATCATTAATATTCCATACATGTTCAGGACGATTATTGAGAGAGGAATATCCATTTTGTAACAATGAAAAAAAAGTTAAGCATATGAGGAAATACATAATTGTTATCACATAGAATACATGTAGAAAAGTCAAAATGTTAGTTTAAAATATTGTTCTATCTGAACTTTTCCAATAATATAACAGTGCAATATAAAGTTTTTCAAATTTACAGTATAAAAATTACTTCGCCATTTGAGTCCAGGATTTTGTAAAACCTGTTTAAAGAGACCACTTAAGGAAGAGCAAAAATGTTGGCTCTAAAGACAGGTGGTCTTTTAATATTACAGGTTCAATCTATATGAAATGTACTACAGAGGGATCTTATAGTACAGGTTTTTGCTTAATACTGATGGTTTCTTAAGCAAGTTTGACTGTAATACAGAAAAGTAGTTAAGAGACTTTCCTTGCTGTTCATTGTCACCTTCCTTTTTTTCAGAATATTAATGTTATCATCTTTCCTTGTTATTTTTTAGGAATGACTATTCCAATGAGCAAAGTGACAAATCCACGCCAAACTTTTACCATGAACCTAAAGATTGCAACAAGATCATAGAATATAGCAATCAGTGATATGAAATTACAACCGATAAAAACATCAAGAAATTTTTCAACAGGAATGCATTGAACTGGATATTTCTGGAGATGACATTGCTGTCATCAGTAATTCAGAAAACAGTTGTGGAATTTATATTGCACAGTTTCTGGATGTACCAGAAGCTTTCTAAAGCATACATCTTTAAACGACCACATCATCATTGGGAACTGTCACTTCCAATCAAAATGTAAATATACCAGTGACACATACAAAAACTTATATGCACTGAAGGTAACCCAGACTGTTGGTACTTGTTTCAACTTGAGTTTGAATGCTCGGGAAACAACAAACACAAATAAACAGATGAAAGAGTGGGCTCTGAAATCCAGGAAGGCTCATGTCACCTTTTCCATAGACCAAAAGAAATGGCATGCAGATTTTTCGTACCACAACATATTGCTAGTTACTTCTCTTGTTATTCATGACAGATAAACACCAAATATAATGATGGAATAGCTTTTAAATTAGAAAATGAAACATCAATTATCATACAAGAAGTAATGGCTAACATTAATGCAGACACATGAACCTATGGTGACTGATCTCAATATTTTGTTGAATACATTGTCTGTTTTCTATTATTACTTTTAAAATTGCAACATGTGCAAAGGCTGTATTTTATATTTAAAAGTTTGCCCTATCAATATATCCCAAACAGGTACTATAACCAGTCTTTTGAACATTGAGGTCACTGGTGGACTTTTTTCTTCTGTGAAGGATTTCAGCAACAATGAGAAAATTGCAAAATGAAGAACAGCAATAAAAGTCTTTCCTTGCATATAATCATGTCTTTTAGATTTTGTGTTAAAAAATCTATCTTTTATCTTTCATTGGCCAACATATGTCCAGGGCTTGAAAATTCCTGATTCCTATTACCTCAAGAAAATAAATATCTAAGCAAGGAAAGTGAAATACTATAAGAAATTTCCATTGGGTAGGCTTCTTTTGTAAAGTTTTGTTCTAACATTCAACAATGGGCAACCTTGTTTTCTAAATGGTTAGGATATTCAAGCCTGAATGTCATTCAATTTTCAAGAGTTATACTCCTGTTTACCTAACTTTTTTCACATTTCATATGCATTGTATCAATTTTAAAAGAGTTGGATTGTGATTGGAATTTTTTTCTATTGTAGTATTTTGCTCTTTGAAAGATTGGCTGACAATAATTTGCTCAAGAAGATAGAAATTTTCTGTCTGCCTTTGAGTTTAGTCTGACATATTAGTCACTTTAATAAAAGTATTTTGCATATATATAGACCAAGGTATTAATTTTGGCCTAAGCACTGCATTGCCGTCTCATTTTTGTCGAGCCTTCGACTTTAGTCGAAAAAGCGAGACATAGCGATCCTACATTCCGTCGGCGTCGTCGTCGTCGGCGGCGGCGTCCACAAATATTCACTCTGTGGTTAAAATTTTTGAAATTTTAATAACTTTCTTAAACTATCCTGGATTTCTACCAAACTTGGACAGAAGTTTGTTTATGATCATAAGATAGTATCCAGAAGTAAATTTTGTAAAAATAAAATTCCATTTTTTCTGTATTTTACTTATAAATGGACTTAGTTTTTCTGCCGGGAAATATTACATTCATTCTGTGGTTAAAGTTTTTAAAATTTTAATAACTATCTAAAACTATCCTGGGTTTGTACCAAACTTGGACAGAAGCTTGTTTATGATCATAAGATAGTATCTAGAAGTAAATTTTGTAAAAAAATAAATCCATTTTTTCCTTATTTTATTTTTTAAATGGACTTAGATTTTCTGCCAGAAAACAACACATTCACTCTGTGGTTAAAGTTTTTAAAATTTTAATAACTTTCTTATACTATTTTGGATTTGTACCAAACTTGGACAGAAGCTTGTTTATGATCAAAATCAAAAGCTAGTATCTAGAAGGAAATTTTGTAAAAAAATAAATCCATTTGCTCTGTATTTTACTTTTAACTGGACTTGGATTTTCTGCCAGGAAACAACACATTCACTCTGTGGTTAAAGTTTTTAAAATTTTAATAACTTTCTTATACTATTTTGGATTTGTACCAAACTTGGACAGAAGCTTGTTTATGATCAAATGCTAGTATCTAGAAGGAAATTTTGTTTTCTTCCAGTTAACATTACATTCAGTCTGCAGTTAAAGTTTTTAAACATTTATTAGATTCATAAACTATCCTGGATTTTTACCAAACTTGGACAGAAGCTTCTTACAATCAAAAGATATTATCAAGTGGAATATTTTTATTGATTTACTTCCTCATTTTTGTTGAGCTTGCGATTAACAGAAAAAGTAGGCTAGACACTGGGTTCCGCGGAACCCTTTCGAATTTTTCTTATTCTTGTTATTTTAAAGATGAACACATATTTTAATAATCTGAGTATATCTGATTTAAAATAAGAAAGTGTTTATTAAATATATTGTTTAAAAATATCTTTACAACTGTATCATGTGTATGTATAATGATACATATATTGATGTGAAACTAAATGGGTATTGACTCAAACCTTCAAAACAAAATTATTTATAGTCCAAACAATTATAAGTTAATACATTTATTAAAAATAACTTGAATATATGCAAAACTAATCATGTTATTAAAATAAGCATCTGCCTAAAGTATACTTCATCCCAAAATTAAGGTTTTTCAACAAAAATGTAATATTTTGTCCTCTAACCTTTACCTTAAATTGAATTGAAGAAAACAAAATACCAAATTATATGTTCAACTTTGATTCAAAAGAGTTGTTCCTTAATTACTCAAAGTATACCCTGTAAAATAAATTGATTCTCAAAATCCCAAATTTTTAACATAAAACCCAAAATGTCCATAAATATAATGAACCTCGTAATGAACCCATTTGGTTTATCTCTGTATTTAAAGAACATCATTAGAAGTATCCATTCCAAAATTCTGTACTAACTTTTTGTACAAAAAAAAAACAAAAAAACTTCTTTTTTTTTATGTCAACCCCCCCCCCCCCCCCCCCCCCCCACCCCCGACCCCCCCCCCCCCACACACCCTTTTTTTTAAGGTTTGCATTAAGGTTTTTTATTGTCAATCATAGGTCAGTCATTTGAACAAACATATTCAACAAACACCAACATCTATATAACATGTTAGTCGGTTTATATGGTGGAAATTGTCTGGTATGATAGCAAAGATATGTACAATTGGCCTAAATGAACAGTTTACACCCCTTAATATGACCCAATTTGAATTATCCGCCAGTAATTTAAAATATGTTTACCCGGAGATATTTTTTCATTAATGATTAGCTAAATACCTAATCTTTAAGTCTAGTGAGTCATGTTTTGGCTATATTTCTGCAAAAAAAAATATTTTAGGGACCAAATTTGGTCAAATTTGACTCTTTTTTATTTTCCTTAGCAACCGACAAGAAGGACTTGGATGATTAAGATTTTAAACTGGTTTTTATGAATAATGCAACTAACTTTGATGTTAGAAGTAGTTTTTCTATCACATTATTTTTTTATGTGGCCAGCTGTTGGTTGATGCATACAGAGAATTGATGTTAATTCGTTTGCAGATTTTTTTCTTGCTGATAAGTTTTGTTTTTTAAGGTTGCACTTTGTAAATACAGCTGTTTCACAAACCTAGCCTCTTTTGGGGAGATATATAATATTCATAGATATTTTATTTTGTTTACGTACTGGTTCCCAGATATGATCTCTATGTTTCATCTCATAGAGACATAACTTGAAAATGTTACCTGTAAAAATTAACATAAATAGCGGCCGCCTTGAATTCTGAGGAAGACTTACAGTGAAGGGAGGGGTAGTACAGAATTTGTGTATAAATATTTAAACTCTTAGAAGTTCGGGGCATATAAATGTTGAAAATATGCCGCACAGCCCTATATTTTGACCTTTGAAAAAAATACTAGTGCATAGGAGCTTTCCATTCTAGCATATAATTATTTAAGAAACTTCATAGTAAAAGTGGTACAGTTTTAGCCGTAAAAGGAGTTCCTATGGGAAATTGCATTGTTTATCTTTACAGAAATGCAATCTCAAAGTGTGTATCTATCTTTTATAGTTTTCTATAAAAGATTATAGGCAAAAAGGCAAAACATGGTAAAAATCATCATAAAAGTGCAAGATCTCTAATAAGAAGTCGACTGACGATTTGATCGATGTTGAATTATTTGTAGATCTTGTACTGCTGATAATTTTTTCCATTTAAAGAGTCTATCTATCTAATATAGGTTTCAATATAATATTTTAATTTTCAAGATATAAAGCAAAAATGGGGGACAAAAGTAAAATTCGTCATGTTAAGGCAATAACTCAGACAGTTTTTTATGTAATGGACGGAAGGCAGATCTGTCATTGTTAAATTTTCTCCTTTCATAGCGGTTTATAAAATAAAAGACAAAACTTGCATTTTACCCCTATGTTCTATTTTTAGCCATGTCGGCAATGTTGGTTGGTAGGCATGTTCATCGGACACATTTTTTAAACCATGATAAATGGGCCAAGTTTGGTTAAATTTGGCCTGATAGTTTCAGAGAAGAAAATTTTGTAAAAGTTAATTGACGGGGGGCGACAACAGACGACAGACGTCGACGACGGACGCCAAGTGGTGAGAAAAGCACACTTGGCCCTTTGAGCCAGATGAACTAAAAAGGTATTGTCATATCAAAATCATTACTGGACAATGCACATATATAATGACTTTCAATGAATGATAAGCAGTTTCCATATATTTGTTTGGTTATACATTGTAAAAATTAAATTATTTCAATTATATCGGAGTTTCAATAAAAAAAATGCATAAGCAATTAAATACCTATGGAATATGCTTCAAATGAAAGTAAATATAAAGCAAAACTCCACGAATAGCTATAAGCATTCATCATGCACAAATATTTGTATATTTCAACTTCCTTATAGGTCACTTAATATTTATAATTTTAAAACTCTTTGACCCAAAACACGTTTAATGCTTCTTTTGTTAAAAAAAGTGCATTAAGTACAAAATTTACCTGTACTAACATATTAGTGGGTATGAAAAAGGAGGGAATGTATATAACTTCCTTGTGATCGTACTTGTTACCTTTAAAAATCTTTTTAACTTTACAATAAGTTAAGGCCACTGATCGAGATTAAAAGGGTGAGGGTGTAAATTTTAAAAATCTTAGTTGAACCCTCCACGTATTTATATGCCAGTTTCAGTTAAAGCAAAAGTATTGAGCCGATTTTCAAATCACGTAAATCAATTTAAAGAAACAAATCAATATAACAAACAAAAACTGTAAGAACCGCGAATAAAGTGAGAACTAGTGCGTCGACAGGATAAGCGTCGGTTGTTATGCATATAATGATCGCAATTCGAATACACAATCAGACAAAATAATACAATCGGGAAAAGGACACAATCGGTAAAATTACAAATTAGACGTTTATTCCCTTATCTAAAGATCTAAGACTGCGAAGGAATATCGTAAGTAAGTTTAGACACAGACCTATCAGATCAATCAACCAATGTGCGATGTAACCGTAAAACGTATGACGTCTTGATTTATAACGGTCTTTCTCATAACTCTGATGTCATACTTTGAATTAGTATGGATTCGCATAGTCGTTGATGCATGATTACAGCAGAAGACATATATTATGTCGACCCTTCCGATCCCGTTCTTTTTTTTTTAGTTCGTGCTATTCCCTGAGTTTTTGTGTGTCGATTTATGATATTTGTACATCGGTAAACCACTGTGGCCTTATCGTCTTTTATATTTAACACATTTTATTAAACAAATCACATCTAGAGAAACCACAAGCACGTATATCTATAAACATTTTTGGTAAAACCAAGAAAAAGATTGACACCTTTTTTCAATGCGAACAAAACAATTTCAACACATTTTAAGAAAAGCAAACCATCAATGAATAAAAGACAATAACGATACTGTTACATGATTTTTAGTACAAAAACAACTTCTACTATAGTACCGACAGGAAAATATGACGTTACATCATGCTTTAATGCCAAGAATAATAATTTGAACTCCTGATAGATACAAATTTAAAGTATAAAACCAGCACAGTTATATTTATAACATTCTATGAAAAAGAACTTACCTGATCAAATTGTACAGATATCAAATGGTGTTTCATGATTTCAATTAAAATGTTAAAAAAATAATTGCACTCTCAAACAAAACAATTTATATACTAAGTATCTCTACTCATATATAATACCACATGAGGAGCAAGATCTGCTTACCCTTCCGGATAAATTGATATCAACCCGGATTTTGATGGGGATCTTAATGCTCAGTCTGTTGATTTCGATGTTGTGTTGTGTGTACTGTTATTTGTCTGTTTGGTAGTTTTCGTTTGTAAACATGGCAATGTGGACTGATGAGTTGAATGTCCCTTTGTTATCATCCGCCTCTCTTTAATAATATTCACATTTAATGAAATACTGAAAATAGTTTTTTTAAAGAACAAAAATCGGGTTAAGAATTTGAAGCCATCTGAAACGAAAACTCGTGAAAATATTCATATGTTGTTCTATAATAATTTGTGGACATTGTAAAATAAGGTGTTCATTTTCACTTACTTGTTTGTTTTTCATTACTGACAACATTCATCAAACGTTTAATAAGATAATTGCTTTCGGAAATAAGTCGATTCATCATTGCTTACAAATGTTCTCGATTGAAGGAAATTGCAAAGTAAACATTTTAATTGTTGTACACGTGTTATCAGAAGTGATGACACTAATTCACCGAGATCGATTGATCAACAAATTAACGATCACCAAAGGTTAAATAAAACAAAATTCTACAAATTTTGAATAGTAGAATTAATTCTTATGAAATAAAAAATGATTGTCCAATTTGAAATTATTTATTTTTTCGTACGAGAATTATGAGTAGATAAAATGAAAACTTCATCGTCGTTTATCATCACCACGCGGAAAATAAGACTTTATAAATATACTGAAGATGATATTATCAAAATGCTGGACTTTCTGATCGACAATATCTTTGTTGAGTTTGGAGGATTGATATTTCAACAGACAGTCGGCATTCCAATGGGTACTAATTGTGCAACCCTACTGGCTGATTTGTTTTTGTACTCGTATGAAGCAAAATTCATTCATAACCTTCTAAAAGACAAAAAGAAAAAGCACCTTGCGAAATTCTTTAATTTTACTTTCAGATATATTGATGATGTCCTATCACTGAATAACCCATGTTTCAGCCAGTACTTACATCTCATATATCCCAGTGAACTTGAAATTAAGGATACTACTGATACCAGAAGGACTGCTTCATACCTTGATCTTTTCCTAAATTTTTACACAGATAGACGACTTCACACTAAAATCTATGACAAACAGGACGATTTCAACTTCCCAATTATCAATGTCCCATTTCTCAGCAGTAACATACCCTCTGCCCCATCGTATGGTGTTTACATATCTCAGTTGATACGTTATGCTTGTGCATGTTCACACTATACGGACTTCATATACAGGAGTGTGCTCCTTACGCAGAAACTGCTCCAACAGAGTTATGAGGAGGAAAGATTAAAAATGACACTCCATAATTCTACGAACACCATCACGAATAGGTTGATCTATACGATGTGTCTGTGTTATAACTAATTAACGATTTTTACCATGTCTTAGATTGTTGTTTACCATCTACGTCGTATGGTCTTCTTAGTACCGAACGTGACCCATTCCCGAATATGACTGTTTTGCTGAGTGTAAATTCGCATTGCTATCAGACGTGTCTCGGTATTTGTACATCCAACATACATGTATTTAGTTATGATGTTTCATTTGTAATTCTGGTTGGATGTTGTTTTATGTCTTATCGTTTGTGGTTTTAATTCTATTTCTATTTTCTATATGTATGTAAAAGTAAAGATAAATAATCACCTAGTTCATTTATATTATTTTTAGTTTAAAGCAACTATATGCACAGGATTTATTTGTTTTTACACACTCAGTTTGATTTAGAAGAAAAACCGACATGGTTATAAAATACAAATATTACACCATTTCTAAGATAATGCTATATTAATATTCTTGTAATGGCTAGAAAATACATCAAATAACACCATTGCAAACTTAATCCCAATTTTTTATTCTTTGTTTAGAAATTTACCTGTGACGTCACTTTTTCTGGCGTTGATACATTCGTGTGACGCACAGTTCATAATTCTATTGTGCTGTATTTGTGTTCTGTCGTAAATTACTTTTAGGTGTTCGTTGTTATTCTGTGGTTTACATGTTGAAATATACTATTATATTATTTATTTATGTATTTCTCTGTCCTGAGTGTTCTTGCATTTATTTTTAAATGTGACGTAGTGTTGTCATTTTAGCGGTATTTTTAACATTGCCATATAAGTGGGAGGTTTGCTAGCCATAAAACCAGGTTCAACCAACCATTTTTCCTTAAAATGTCCTGTACCAAGTCCGGAATATGGCAGTTGTTATCACATAGTCCGTTTTCCGTGTATGTTGGCGGTTTTTTTTTTTTGTAGCAGTTCAGTGTTTCTGTTGTTCCGTTTTCTTTCCTTTTATAGTTGGTGTGTTTCTCTCAATTTTGGTTTTTGACCCGGATTTGTTTCAGTTAAATTTATTTATGACTATTGAACAGCGGTATACTACTATTGCCTTTTTTATCAATCAAAACTAATTTTTCGTGAGAATAAAGAGGGTAACATGTTGTACAGTAACTATTTAAGTTTTGTAAAGATTAAATGGGTAAAATCCTCTCTGAAGTTGTTTTTTAGTTCATAGTGCGCTTGCTGATATTCAAGGTCTTTTTTAGATCATATGCCCGTATCCATGTAGTCAAACCTACGGTAATGGGGATCTTTCCATGTCTTGATTTGGACAACAGTTCTTATATTTCGTTGGACATTTAAATTTGTGGATAAAGTAATCAACGAAAACCACTAAAATTGGTCCCCCCCCCCTCCCCCCAAATAAAACTACTTTCACAGTACAACGCATACTAAATGACTGATTTCAAGTAACAGTACGTGATTGACAATTAAAGGAAGAAATATTGGCACTCTTAATCAAGAATAAGTAGACTGATACAATGTGTCTGTGTTTCAACTCACTAGCGATATAGTTTCATTGTCTTAGATCTTCAGATTCCAGAATAGTCGTCTGATCTGTAATTTTACCGATTGTTCGAATTAATAAACTGGTTTTGTTTTGGGAAAAGAGGAAAATTACCTAATGCGTTACTGCTGTAATAGTCTTTCAACACTAACTAGATTGAAAGTTTCAATGTCAGACGAGTATATGAATATTAAGGTTAATTGATTTGTTTTCCCGGGTGCATTGAAGATTAGTTACAAGCTTTACTATGTAGTAAATCCCTTTCGTTTCCGTGTTTTGTATTGAATCGATTTAAAAAGGAAAGTCGTATAAGAACTGTGTCCCCTTGTCAAAAAGGAGTAGGGTCAATAAAAGTTGATGAGGTCTAGGACCCTCTACAATTTTCAGGCAACATTATAGCACAATTCGGAAAATAAGATGATCAAATATCATAATTGGTCTTGACTTTTGGCCTAGGGACTTGTTATTGCTCTATTTCAAAGAGCGTTAAAGATAAGTGCTGACAATATTGCAAACATGTGCAGCTTTTCCATATCTACATGTGTTGCATGGTTCCAAAACTGTCTAGTTGTATTAAAGTTATTGCCGATTAGCCGATAGTATATAAGGTTTTTGACATATAAATCGTAGGTCAAAGGGACCTTCATCATTTATCTTAGGACCCGTAAATGTTCAGAATAAAGTTCACTGGTGACGTTGACTCTTTGTTGAATACTTTTATATCGCTTTATCTCCAAAACTGAAACAGATTGAAGCAGTTCATATAAGACATGTACGTCTTATCGACATCTACATTTGTCAATTTAAGTCCAAATAACGGGGATTTATTGCTTTTGAGCTATTGCTAAAGAAGTGAAAAAATTGTCTAACCCTATATTTGTGGGTATTAAAACCGTACAAGATAGAAAGATACTCTCAATCAAAAATGGTTTTGAGTGACAATACCAAGATAATTAATTACTTTAACCACTGATCGTGGTAGTTTCTCATACTGTTGAAATAAGGTACTTGTTGTGCGCGATATAAAGAACTTCACAGTTGGTCACTAATATGCTTGCTTACCCTTGATCATACGGCGAATCAAATCAATTTCTCAGAAATTATAAGATAGACCACTGGAATTGGAATAACATTAACTGTAACAGTTTTACTGCACCAGATTGGCTATTTGACAATAAATGTCACTTTTTGAAAATCAAAAGCCTAAAGAGATGATAAAACTAAAACAAAATACTACGTAAGACCAAAACTCGGACAACTAAAGCTTTACATGCAGGAGAAATTTCATGTCATTCCCAAAATTTCAATAAATCAATATCTGTATATATTAATGTTGGTACCTAATCACTGGCTACTGGGCTGGTGATAACCCCATTGACTAACAGTCAACCATCAGAGGAATCGATCCAGTGATAGTTATAACATTTCAGTCATTGTCCAGCACCATATGCATATTTCGACAATTTTTATTTCTTCCGCGATTCTCGAGTCTAAGTATTTGCAAATCCATTAACCATTAAAAACCTTAAAGAAGTTAATCAGAGCTAACCTTGGCAGTTGTGTTTTGGGTTATAATAAGTATTCAATTTGATACAAAGGTCAAGGGTAAATGGTGACACTGAACCATATACCATTATCTTTCAGACACAACTACTGATAAACAGTATGTCTTCTTTATAATTATAAAAATTTCATTTTCTAGTATACTAGCACTATGTTGTAGATTGTCACATATTGAAATTACATAAGATGAAGGTGGTTATAGTGATTCCGAAGAAGACTTTTAATCAAGTTTTAACATACATCTTGGGAAAATCTTTTAAGCTGTTCAGTTTTAACTATAATTTTCATCCTGCCGATGTAAAAACAAGAGGAAGTAAAGCATATAATACATAATTGTGTACTAACTACACATGTTCCTAAATAAACCTCAATCACGTATGTTCATGATCAAAATATTTAAAAGTTAAATTCATGTTTAGAAGCATTATGGAGGAATTATAATGTTTGTTTATGTACTAAAAGGTTAATTAAAATAACCACAAAAGAGTGCCTGTCGTATAATGTAAAGGGTACTGTCTATATTCACTTTTGATACACACATGTATAAGTTACTGTTGTATCATGCTGATGCCAGCGTAGCCTTTTATTTGTTTTTGGTGATTAATATCATCAAAAAGGTATCATAAGCAAATCGGACACATGTTTACCTGATATGCATGCCACATTGCTTAATGTTAATCAGAACTAGATGGATGCATTTATATTTCTTTTCAGACTGTATACCACAGATATGCACCTTCTAGAAACCTAAAGATTAGGCAAAATTAACATAGGTCTTCATATTTTAATAAGTTTGGATTTCCAAATATTTTGTCTTCTAGCATCACTGAAGAGACATTAATTAGCGAAATGCAGAAAAAATTACCCCGTTAATTTTATGAACCCCATCAAAGTCCAGTGTTCGAAGTATCTTATACTTTTTATAAAGCTTGTCATTGTCGTATGTAGCTAGTTTCTCTCCCTTTCTCAATTCCACGTTTCTTATGCTGATTGCCAATACTTACTCGTAACTGTTTACATATTCACCAAACAAAAACACCTGACGTTTGTGTTGATGTACTGTTATCATTCCGTTAATATTCAAACTGATATATATTCAAGTTTGCTAGTTCCTTAACCTTATATATAAAAATCAAATCATGCACCATTATACATTTTAAACACAAATTAATGTAAACTTGAGCGGGTTTTTGTTTGTCATGTTTTCACAACTGCCTGAAATCTTTGGCAGATTGGTACTTAAAAACATAAAGTGAGCGCATTAGTAGGCCTAATTTTTGCTTTATTTTCTTACATTCTGAGGTAAAAACATGGTTGAGTAATTTTCTATATTCACAAATAGAACTATGGTTAATGTTTGACTTCTCAAGTTTCAGCAGTAAAACCCTTGCTTGCTAAAGTGGGACGTTCGTTTGGCTGTGGGACATGTATAAATACGCAGCCACGTCCGGACGGCATTGGTGCCTCCTTTTGAAAGACGTCCCATGATTCATATATAAGAAACCCATGCAAAAACTGACTGCTGTAGGGGGCAAATGGCATCCAGATTTCACCCACCAAACTTGTTCAACAACTTTAAAGTTAAACATGAGTGACGTAGACGACTAACACGATGTTAATAACATATTAGGGATATTGAAGCTTACAATCGAACATACCCAGGGAACAATTGTAGAGTTTTCTCCTGAAAATGCTCTTTCTTTGTTTTCTCGTCAATTAGTTTCTGCTTTGATAAGACATATGTAAGATCTTTCTGCAGAAATTGATTGAAAAATTTGCAATAGTTCGACGGACAAGAGTTCACGCTTACCATCATTCACTCCCAATCTTATATTGAGGGTAATAGAAGACAACACGACTTCAATACTGCATGTAAAAATAACATTGATAAAGCGAAAGATTTTCTAGAGCTCGGTTCTGTTGGCGCAGCTGTTAAAACTTTAGAGCAAGCTGAAACATCTCTTAAAGAAAGAAACAAGTTACTTCGTTTTGCCGACAAGTATGGCTGTGATGTCGTTGAAGAGTTAACGGGCGACCCGCTAATCGAGAGTTCAGAAGAGGCTTCCAGACTAAAGCAGAAGGAATATCGAGCTCAAATGAAGAGGAGGGGAAAATCTCTTAAAACAGATCATACAAATCTATTATATTTTATGACACAAGGTAAAGCAAGACGACGTTGTTTTTCAGCCTAGTGGAACATATATAGAAGAATCATCTAGGAACAGGAGCGTATCAGATAGAAGAAGATTCGACACGCCATAAGAGTATTTTAGAGGGAAGAAAGAAGCAACCCGCTGTTACTATTATAATGAGGAATGTCATTGGACCTACCAGTGCCACAGGAAATCAGGCATATTTGCCCACGGAAAACAACAGCAGTGCAACAGTCAAGTACCAGTTTTATAATTTACACGAGCAAGTATGTATGAATATGAAAATTTGTTAATGATTAAACTTTATTTTTTGTTGGTAGTCTTAACGAGAATTTTTTGTTTTTGAAAGAAGTTTTAAGAGAATTTCTAGTGGTTTTTTAATAACTTTTTTTTCAAATTCTTCATCAGTTAGTTTGAAAAATAATTTTTATGCTTTTGATCATTCAGTATTCGTGGAGCGTGCCATTAACGCTTGCATATGGGGTATATATCTCTCAGTTGTTACGATATCACAGAGCTTCTTTTTCATATCATGAATTTCTTGATAAAGGATTTCAACTTACAAGGAAGCTTTAAATCGAAGGGTTCCAAATGATGATATTGAAGTCATCCTTTCGACAATTTAACCGACGCCATCACGAGTTATTTGTCCGTTATGGAATATCTGTTTCACATTTGACGAAGGATATGTTTTTATTGCTGTAACTATAATCCCGACATCGTTTTTTCAATGTAACATCACCAAATAAGACCAAATAAGACCAATCACCGCACATGTAGATTATGATATGCCTATCCTTCCTGGGCATCTGAAATCTTACCCAGTGTTCGGTGGGGTTCGTATTGCACCGGTTTTTTATGTAGTGTTTCGTAGACTGTTGCTTGTCTTTTCGACCTTGTTTGTTTGTTTGTTTAGTTGGTTTTTTGTTTTGTTTTTTTTTGTTTTTTTGCAGGAACGTTGTTAGCTTGTATTCGACTGATGCGTTTTAATATCATTTGGTATCTTCAGTAAACTTTAATAAATTTGAGGTTCCCTTTTTTTTTGCGATCTGATATTTCATAACGGCCCCTCAACCCAAGACACGACGTCCGTAAAACGTTCAAAAGATAAATTCATCTTTATCATTATGAACCCATACAATCTTCAAGATATAGTTTCCGTACAAGCAGGATTCCTTTTTGTAAAGAATTGATCAATTACAATGATACCATTTCAGATAAAGCAAAGTATCCATATGGAGCAGGATCTGCCTAACCTTTCGGAGTACCTGACATTACCTTTCGTATCTTTGATGAAGTTCATGTTGCTCATTTTTTAGGTATATATGGTAAGCTTTGTAGAGTTCTGTTTGTTTTTGTTTTATGTCATAGCATTGCCAGCTTGTCTTCATAATATAACATTAAATATGACATTTAAAGCGAAATGAAGAAACAAAACTTGTATCTTTTATCTTCGGTTTATCGATTTGTCAAATTTCTAAATAAGAAGATATAAGAAGTAAATATAATTATAAACATATAAATATTATTGTTAATTAAGCAGCTATGTAAAATTAATATCAAATATTGTTTGATGGGCGTTAGCTTCGTTTTGTACTGTATTAATAAAGTGGAGATATACCTTCGTCTTGTTTCTACTTTAATGATATAATTGATAACAGTTTTAATTCATTGATAAACAAAAGCAAACAAAAAAGATACTTTTTTGCCTTTTTGACGATTTGTTTATCTAATATATTCAAGGTACATGTTAAGATAATTTCATTAAATTAAAAGTTAATAAAAACCTACTTAATCTATAGAATTGCTCGAAATTCAAACACAATGAAGCGTTCACATTATCACGCATGTAAGGGGTAAGTTGAATAGATAAAAAGCTAACATGTGCTCAATAAAACATATATTTTTGTACAGGCAGCTATTGCTTTTCAATGTTAAATATTAAAGCAACAAAAATAGGAGACCCAAGATTCAATATAGTAAAACATAGTTGTGTATGAAACAAACCTGTGTTGACTAAACTGATGTGGTCTGTATGTCCAGAATTTAGCTAGAAACTTGTGAATAGTGTTTGGGTAAGTGTTCTTTAATTGAACGTGTGTTTGTTATAAGGGATATAGTGAAAAAGATGAATATAAACACAGAAAATTTCCATTGTTAAATTGAATATTGTAGATATATTGTGAATTCATTTTAGAACATTCAATAGCATGAAGCCCAATTACATTATAATTAAGTGAACGTGGATTCAATTGCTAACAAAATGTTGATAGAACAACCTTAGAATTCTTTCATTCAATCTTGAAATTCGCTATGCATAGTTTATCATTACAACTGTTGTACAAAAGATATTCTACAATTTAGATATCTTTTTTCAAAGCAATGCAGTCCATGATTGAAATGTATCATGATGTAGAGACTGTTTTAAGTTTTCAGTAAGTTATCAAACAACACTGGTTAATTAAGATTTTTTTTAAGGTTTTAGTTCCATATTTACATATAAATTCGTATCTTTTTGATGTATTTGTATCTCTGAAATAAACATAAAAAGAACAACCTTAGAATTCTTTCATTCAATCTTGAAATTCGCTATGCATAGTTTATCATGACAACTGTTGTACAAAAGATATTCTACAATTTAGATATCTTTTTTCAAAGCAATGCGATTCTAAGAGAATCAATATTGGTATTATTTTAAACATATGAAGTATATATCAATGAGACAACCAACAAATACAAATATTACCCAAAACACACCAAAGGCGCTTTTCTAAAATACAACTGTGCAACAATAGTAGTATTTAAATCTCGGACGAATGAATCATTAGATAGATATTTATGTATAAAAATATACTGCTTTTCATTTGTTTCAGTAAATTGATATAGTATCAATGTCTAAACTAGTAACCAACCTCATTCAAATTTACAACATAACCAACACACTACTTTTTTTTACGTGTGTTACACTTTACACAAAACTTATGTTTTTTTCTCCTTGATTCTTTTTAGTTCCAAGAATATATTTTGCCTTGATCAGGTTATTATATGTTCCAACACATTGTAATATTTGCAACTGATTTATAAATAGACAAAACAAAAGATGTACTGTGACCTACTGTTTACAAATCATAACCTAGCTATACGTATTTGTTAACAGGAATGTGTAAACAAACTCCAGGAAGTTTTTCTTTGTAGATCCTAACAAATATGCAGCAAAATTATCGCTGGACGGATAGACGAAGGGACGAACGGACATACGGACAGATTGACAGTCCAATACGACCTCTTTTGAAGCAGAATGATAATACATGTTATATAACTATTTAATATCAGCTGCAATGTAAAAGAATATTTTTAAATGCTAGATCGATAAAAACACTATGTAGTTACATTTATGAAAATGGTACCTACCGTTGGTTGATATTTTCATATTTTCGTAAATATTATCATTCGTATTGCTCTTGACTTCTCCAAATTCTTCGTAAGTGTTCGAGCTGTAGAGAGACAATAATGACACACATAAGAATGGTTTTTTATGTACCTCTTTTATAACAATTTATATTTGATCAGGGCCCTTTTTTAAATCTTTATGTGAGTTTATACAGAACACACTGGGACATATTTCAAACAATTACTAGCATTACCTGGCATTAGATATTAGGCATTTATTGGAAGGAAACTATAAATTATGGACTACAAGGTACGTTTAATCTTGCTAACTGCTATGTGAAATAGCACGTTATCATTCAAGTGTGCTAGTGTACCTTTGTTAAGGGTAAGAAACAATGGACTGCTAGTTATATAGGGCAATTTAAACTTGACACCTACTGGATGAGCTACAATAATATAAATACAATGTTAATTTAGTTCACTACCAACATACTCAAAAGAATTGAATAACATTTATTTAGATTTACAGTGATCAGATTGATGTATGGGTCTGCTAGAAAGACAAATTATGAAATACAAAATAGGAGGAAAACACAGAGGACAAAAAAATAAGGTAACAATTATCTGAGTTTTCAAAACATTGTTGTTGATTTTTTTTTATTTTTCCTCAAATATTTTTTAATAATTATGAATGTAACAACACATATGCTACCGTTGAAAGGATTGTACAAAAACTGTAAATTCTCTTTTACCATGTACGTGTACAAAGACATAACTCACTAAAAGTAATTACAAAGTCTGATTAAAAGAAATGCCCATGAATGTAAGACAGAAGATCATTTGACAAGAAAGAACAATTAAACTTTGAGATTTTACAACAGATTCTAAATCATTTTTTTATTTTTATTGAGCTATTACATGTATATCTACTTTGTACAGCATGTTTGGTAAGCAATATGTTTAAAACTATAATAATGATAAAATATTTGTTGAAAAAACTGTTAAATTAACATGTAAATAGGCTAGTGTTTCCATGGTAATGGATATTCAAGACAATGATGTATCATCTGCATGATGAAAATTTGATAAATCTACATTAAACAAAATTTCCAAATATATACTATTATAGAACTATATAATAAAATTATTTCAACAGTTTTCTCGTATATTTTCTATTTAAATGTAACTGAATTTACAATTTTGGAATCAGAAAATGAAAGAAAAAAAGTTAATCTACACATATTTTTATTTCTTAACGTAAGCTTTCCTGAATGCACATCTTAATTGGGGACATTCCAAGACAGAATATGTCTTGATTTTGTTTTCTATTATAACCCCTCCTGTATATAGGTTCGTCTTTGGCTATCAAAATTTTGGGGTTTCAGCGTTCCTGCCAAAAGTACTCATAAAAAGAGCTTGGGGCGTTTTTTTCTAATTCATTAAATGCCTAGTCAAATAATAATAAATATCAAGATTACAAAAACAAATAATAATATTATTTAATGTTTTAGATAAAATATTTCACATTCGTAAAATTAATTTGAATAATATATATTTTACCTGTGACCTTCTCTCTTAATCCGTAAGTTTGTTACCTTTAATAAAATTTCATCACACCACAGATGTTGTGAACATAAACATGAACTTCCAGAATTCCCAACATTTGTTTACTATGTCCTGATATGAACATTATTCAAATCAGTTGACTTTAATTTTTAACAGTTGCAGATAAATAGTTATACTTGTAAAGTACTTATACTCTCCTATAAACAAAAGGTCGAATGGGAATCAAATCAGAACAAAGGTAGCTGCGACGACATAACGCAAAGTATGACATCATCGTTTGATGTGAACCGAATACATTTTTTTAATATTATTTAGCAACGTGCGTTACACAATAGATAAGAACACTACTTACATTCTTTCTGAGATTTTATGCTGCTGTTTAGCATCTGTAAAATAATAAATCAAATCGGTTTGTAATTATGTATTTTTTAATTGCGTATCGTTTATTAGCAAAATGATGTATTTCAAATTCCGTTTTTTTCCTGAACCGATTTGGCATCCGTGGAAAAAGAACTGTTCTTTTCATATATTGCTATACGAGGCACATTAGATGATATTTTGTTGGGCTTATTATACTTACTAGACATTTCTATCGTCAATGTGAATGTACAGCGGTCGATATAAATGTTCTCAGATTCATAGTTTATGATTACCTCCTTTTTTCCCTCTAGTGTATTTTATTATGTCATGTAAAAAACATCATAAAAGATACCAACTGGCTCATTATTTTGTACGCGTTTCGTCTTAAAAAGACACACCAGTGACGTTTGAAGCAAAAAAAAGTTGAAGATAACTTAGGACTCAAAATTCAGAAATTCAAGTGAATGGTCTCAGACTAAATGTACATCGGACTTCTTTTAAACTGAGTTTTACTGTGCGTATTGCTATGTGTTTTCTTTATTCTACATTGGCTAGAGGTATAGGGGGAGGGTTGAGATCTCACAAAACATGTTTAACCCCGCTTATTTTTGCGCTTGTCCCAAGTCAGGAGCCTCTGGCCTTTGTTAGTCTTGTTTATTTTTTAATTTTAGTTCATTTATATGTTTTGGAGTTTAGTGTGACGTCCATTTTCACTGAACTAGTACACAATTTTATTTAGTGGCCAGCTGAGGACATCCTCCGGTTGCGGGATTTTCTCGCTGCGTTGAAGACCCATTGGTAGCCTTCGGCTGTTGTCTGCTCTTTGGTCGGGTTGTTGTCTCTTTGACATATTCCCCATTTTCATTCTCAATTTTAAATTTTATAAATTTGTTTATTCTAAAATGCATATCTGTAGTTTTTATTTACGAAAAAGTTATTTTACTTACAATTCAATTAACCATTAGATCATGCTTGTACTCACCTGATTTTAGATCTTGTAACTCATTATATAAATGATTGTCTGTTTCGGACAGTTGTCTATAAACAATAAGACAGAAAATTATTACACTTAAGTTTACTTTATTATTACACATTTAATGGACTTACGCTTCAACACGGGTTATCTCGTGACTCTTATACCAAAAAATAAATATACAAAAGTAAAAAAGAACACTCCAATAAGACTAACTACAACATAACCCGAAATAAAAAAAAACCTAAAATATTAATTAAGTAAGAGGTTTTATATTCCATGGGTTAAATAATGCAACATCAATTTTATGCACAAGTCTCCAACTTTCATTATTCCCGAATGTCAAATAAATATACATGTGTCATATCAATTATGTCGTGTTGACGATATGCTGTCTGCATTAGCAGTAGTATACATGTATGCAAACATTGGCATTGAAGTGAAAGAAGTTGTGCATTAATTTGCCCTATCAAGGGAAGATATGCATGCCGACTAAATAAACAAGATCGATTCAACAATAAAGCTAAAAACTAAATTAGAAACATATAGGTTAAGATTAATAAACTGCAGAACATATTTTGTTCTGATTATATTTTTCTTTTGCCACCTAGGTTTCTAAAATTTGCTTTTGTTTCGAAGTATGTCGACAAGATATCTGGTATATGATAGAGACCTAGACGCTTTTGATATGAGGCCCTTAGTGAATAAGCAGGAAAAGAGACTACAATGAAAGGTATATTAAAATTCATATGTCGAAAATAAACTAACAATGCCATCGCAAAAAACGAAATGACAAACAACAGTACACAAAAACACAACATAGAAAAACTAACGACTGAGCAACAGGAGCCCAATCAAAAATTGGGGTGATCGAAGTGATACAGAAGGGTAAGCAAATCCAGAGGTTAGGGTTTTTTTCTAAATTCTGAACAATGCTTATTATCACAACTCTTGAGAAACCGTAAAACTGACCGGCACAACGTTTTAGACAAATTTCCATTTGCCACATGGCGCTACGCCAATACATTTGGGTCCAAGTGCTCTGTTGGCTTTTATAGGAGTTTCTTCCCCTGTATATTCAAAATAAGCTGTTTGGTAGGAAGACTTCTTAACCAAACATATCATGAACCTGTGTTTTTTCATGTCCTTAACCTATGACATTGAAATTTAGATCAAGGTCAAAATTAATCTGAAATTCTAGTTTTTGACCTTTTTTTATAACATCATACGTGTACATAATAAAGCCATAAGGTCTTTTGCATAAGGCTGGACGATATATGACCGTGAAAAAGATTATCTGGAATGAGAAATGTTGAAAATGTGTTGAGAAGTATTTATGCAGTTTTAAGATTGTTAGGAATGTGTTGAGACACAACTTTGTGAATAATAAAAGAAGTTCCAGAGGTGTTAGACAATGTGAAGAACATTGCGGAAAAGTAATTCTTTACATATTAGTGTAGAGACAAATTTTTTTAAATTCAGACAACATTTAGTCATTCAGAATCGTTTGTTCTTGTAGTGCTGCTCATATATAATATTACTGACTAGCATTGCTTATTTGTAAACCAATAGTATCCCTGTTAAACATTTTACATAATCTTATATAATAGTTTTTATGATATCCGCTACTGATTTCGTCTATTCTGGATTTATAATGTTTATTTACCTCCGTTTTTCTAATCCTGATTCATATACTTTGCTGTTGCTGTTTTCTGTAAAAATTGTTATTAAATATGAATATGGGGAGATATTAATAATAATATTCTGTCAAATTACCTAACAGTTTTCGTGATGTGGTATGTGGATATCTTTTATTTGTTGATCATCTGTGTTCTTCTGCATTTTTTCCTTATTCGACATTTAACGCAGAATTCCATTCATATCAGCGTCAGAGGTCACCTCACACTTAAAATGAAGTGTGAGATTTTGCAAATTGTTTAATATCTCTCTTTGATTTCAACATTACTAACAAAAATAAAACCTTAATTTCGTGGCTTATGATTTGTCAAGAGCATACTTGGGTCTTTGTATAAATATAAGGAGATGTGATATGAACGCCAATGAGACAACTCTCCACAAGAGACCAAATGACACAGAAATTAACAAGTATAGGTCACCGTACGGCCTTCATCAATGAGTAAAACCCATACCGCAAAGTCAGCTATGAAGGCCTCGAAATGACAAATGTAAAACAATTCACATTCCTTTAAGAATGACTTTTAGATGTCATTAACCTATCATCTTCTGATATTGACATACAATTTCTAAAACAACAACTTAAGAAATCAAAACAAAAGGATCGACAATAATCGACAAGGTATCCAACTTTTTTATTTGATTTTAACTTGTAAATCATTGTGCAACTGCATTCCTAAATTTCTATATAACAAAAAGGGAGAGTAAAATTTTATACCGCATTCGATTATTACATTCATTGAAATTGAAGACATCACTAAATGTTTTTATATCAATCGAAAAATTAAAAAAATGCGCAATATACAATCATCATTAATGAAGGAATACGACATTTTCTAATCTAAAAAATCTAAAACTGCGTAAATACATCGATAGAGGTTAGAGAGGAAGATACATCGTGTCGGTCAACCAATTTATGTTGGTTGACCGTCAAACGTATTTAGTGTCAATTTCAGTCGTTTTTCCTCATACCGGTGTTGGAGCAGATTTAGTGTTATCACACCTCTGTTAGTGAAGACCGAATAGTGTGAACATGCACGATCGAAGCGTATTTACTAGGATAATTATATACCATACAATAGGACAGAAAGTGTTTTTTCTGCTGAGAAATTCAAGTTGACAATTAGAAAATTACAATTATCACGTTTGTCCTATTTTCTAGTGTGAAGTCATCCATCTGTGTCGATATGAAGGAAAATATCAAGATACAAGAATACATTCTAGATTCAGTAGTGTCCTTAATCCCAAATTCAGTGGAATATAAGAGAATGATACTTACTATTATGTGAATTATTCATTAATTGGACACTATTAATATATCTGAAGGTGAAACTTAAACCAAGACCTTGTTGATAAATATTCCGTATCAACTTCACAAATAATACATGATGGTCTTGAAGTATAGATTCTGCATACTGACGTTGTTTATCATCTTAACAACGTGTAATATTGTTCTTTCATTTGTCTTTGTTCTACTATTAATATTAATTTTACTGTTGGTTTGTTTTCTGTGATATCCATTTGACGTGGCTAGGTACTTATACATCCCGTCAATGTGTTTGTATTATCTTTCATTTTTGCTGGTGTGTTTTGTATATGCGACTTTTTGTGTTTCTGTGGTTCTTATAACGTGACTCTGTACTTTAAAAGATCCCGGCATTATGTTATTGTTCTAATATATGTCATTATGTTATTGTTCTATTATCAATTTGAAAATACTTTGAACGACAAACGACAAATTTGTTTTGCTCGCGTGGTGGTATTGACCGTGTGTGGATTCTTGAAAATTCTAAAGAACTTCTGGACAATTTTAAATCTCGGTCTGTTTCTGAGGTTGGTTTTAACATAACTTTTGATTTTTTAACCCTGTGTGCCAACATTCCCCATTTGAAATTATAAAATTGTTTTGAATAAACATTGAATGACAAACTTTTTTCTTATGTGACGTTTACATTTTCTGACGTCAGACACGCGAAGCAATGAATGTGGTTTTTGGTTTGATGGATGCTTTTGTGCTTTTTTGTAAATAATTGTTTGTTTTGATATTGTAACACAGTAATGACTGCTGTACCCATATTTTGACTATTTTATTTATAATGTCTGTTTTGTTCACGCATCGTTGTAAATATAACGGAATTTGATAAGACTGTCGTACAAGTGAGAGGTTTAGCGCTATAAAACCAGGTTCAATCCACCATTTTCTACATTTGAAAATGCCTGTACCAAGTCAGGAATATGACAGTTGTTGTCCATTCGTTTGATGTGTTTTGTCATTTGATTTTGCCATGTGATTAGGGACTTTCCGATTGAATTTTCCTCGGAGTTCAGTATTTTTGTGATTTTACTTTTTAATTATAAATAAAATTGCAAGACTTTTTTTCTCTTTCTTTTTGAGATGGTTCTGTCTTGATTATCTTTCATATAAGCACAAAGGCAAGTCTGTGCAAAATTAGTAACCATTGGAATACTAACTATCTGCTGAAAAACCAATCCAGCAAATCAATTAATTTGTTATAATATCTAGCATTTTCATGATTTTATCCTCGGTGTGCATGTATTTGTTGCAAGAATCTGTGCTGTTCTTCACAAAGTAAGACTTTTTTTATTAAAGACAGATGATACAATCCCAAAGCACAGAAGACGAAAAGACCAGCACTGATTTAATAGTAAAATAAAAACAACTAAGGATTTAAAACGAATGCCACATATCACCGTTGATGAATTGCATTCATGTTGCCATCGTTTAAAAGCTGTTTTGGGATTACTTTGATTATGCTATATTTTATACACTCTTCATACTATAATTCTTCCGAAATGTCTACCACCATGTATTTTCTTATCCATTAAGGATGTTCGCTTGTCATGTTTTGGAATTTTTGTCAGATTTTCGGAATCCTCTGGTTTTATCCATTTGAATGCCTTAAAAAATTTTGCCCTCTGACCCCCATTTTTCTTTTTATAAATCTTTTACATGTATAATCATAAGCCATCTGTAAAAGTCTTATAAAATTTTTGTTATTTTTTAATAGTTTTTGAGAACTTAAACTTGTCAATGATAAAGCTATGAAAAATCAAGAGAGAATATTTTCCCGCCAAAATTTCAATGGCTAATATCTCGAAAATAAGCACACGGACCTATACTTTTTTTTCGCTCGTTTGGTTCCTTTATTAGTCCCCTATCAATATATACTAGTGCTATGAAAAGCTTGTTATTTTGAAACTGAGTAGCGAACTTCCTTAATTCATTAAATGTATTAGTCAATTTAAGATTATAATTTTACCAAAAAGCAAACATACACTTGAAAATGTATCCATTGAAATAATAAAATTTTGTTTACCTTTTCTCTTTGTCATTCGACGTTTTCTGTACATAAAAACGAATAGACTGGTAACTCCTAATGTCAATATGATAATAGCAAATCCTGTTCCTACACCGATCGCAGCACCGTTTACTGTTTCTTCATTGGGTATCTCTAAAATGAGTAAATTTGAATGTAAAATAGATAATTTTCAGAAATAAAATGAAATATGCAGCAAACATTATATTGTCGTTCTCGTTATCTTCTTTACAGTAAGCTTTATTTTCATAAATTACATTTTTAAGGAAACGATTTCAGATTAAAACTTTGATCTACATGATACAAAAATACCTTCTGAATACTGAGCTCATAACTAAATTTCTTCTGGACTTTTAAGTTGCACTCAACATAAAACAGTTTAAAATTAAAATCAATTTCGAAGCAAAAATTCCTTAGAAACCTAAAAATTTTAAAATAAGCCATCAACGCTTTTGTATAGAAAACAAAACACCCAGGTAACACACATAAACTGAGACAATCGGTAAAAGTTATAGATATGACAACTCATACTATCTGAGACCGGGAAAAGTTGTCGCTAGTGAGTGAAGACACAGACATATCGTATCGGTCAACCTATTTGAGATGGTCACACTAAAACTTAAGCAGTTTCTTTTAGAGCACTTTTTGTGTTAGCATATGCATATGCACGTGCGCAACGTTCCAATTGGTTTAATTCAATGCCATGGGAAAAACGTAAATGTAAACGAAATAGGATGTTAACAATTTATAAGTCAAAATCATCATTCTAATTTGAAGTCGTCCAAGTGTCAATATCGAGATAATTATCAAGATATGACGCAAAACTGGTAGCCTCATAGTATCCTAAATTTCAAGTATTTCGAGATATATGAGATGCAAAAATTCACCAAAATTTAGAAAGCCAAATAACAGGAGATCAAACATTCAAAACGTTTTTCAAAATAAAGAAAATCAACAGATCAATTTTAGTGTTTTACTCGATGAAATTGAGTTTTATATATGTCCATGCATGTGAAACGTAAAGTTGAAGTATTGTTATTTATGAAAAGAAGGATAATGTAATAAGAGGAGATGTAGTAAAATTGTCAATGAGACCATTATTGAACAAAGTCCAAAGGAAATAGAACTGTTTACTTACTCTGAACATTAATGTTAAAAACTTTTTTTGAAGTTCTGTTCTGCACAGATACCCCTGATAGTCTTAAAGTGTTCATCACATGACATGTATAGTTATCAGTGTCCCGTTTATGTATATTCATGATTGTAAGATTGAATCCATGATATATAAAGCTGATATTTTTCTGACGAGTCCACCATATAGTTGTAGGGAGAGGGTTAGCATCTACTGTTGGAGTAACAGTAAGTGTTTCGCCTGCTTCAATGTTATAATCTTGAATGCCAGAAATTACAGGTTTATCTGAAACGATTAATAAAGATATCTTAACATTTATTTCTAACATGCATGCAAATACAATTACAATCGTTTGTTATCTTTGGAAAGTGTATAACGTGCAAAACACTGTGCAATAACAATTATTGCGTTAAAATCTATCATCGTCCAAGTTATTATAATAATGACCGTAAGAAAAGAAAAGACACACTTTTACCTTTGAGATACTTCTACAATGGGACGATAAACAGATAATCTAGAATAGTAAAATGGTACACGAAAAAACATCTTTGGAGTGGTAACCTTAATAACAAATAGCATTGAGAATGAAAACGGAGAATGTTTCAAAGAGACAACAAGCCGACCAAAGAGCAGAAAAAAACCATAGGCCACCAATGGGTCTTCAACACAGCGAGAAAGTCCCGCACCCAGAGGCGGTCTTCACCTGGGCCCTTAACAAAAATGTGTACTTGTTCAGAGAAAATAGACGTCACACTAAACTCCGAAACATATAAATGAACCGAAATTAAAACAACATACAAGACAAACAATGGCCAGAGGTTCCTGACTTGGGACAGGCGCAAAAATGCGGCGGTGTTAAACATGTTTTGAGAGCTCCAACCCTCCCCCTATACCTCTAGCCAATGTAGAATAAACAAAAATTCATCAATACGCACAGTTAAACTTAGTTTAAAAGAAGTCCGAGTCCGATGTTAGAATAGGTAACAGAAAAAACTAAGCAAAATGACAACGATAACATAAGTTAACAAAGGACTTCTAGCAGTTACTGACATGCCAGCTCCAGACCTCAATTAAACTGATTGAAAGATTATATCTTCATCATTTGAAGATCAAGCACAATCCCTCCCATAGGGGGTTTGGTATCATACCATCATGAAATATACGAGAAAAACATAACCCGTATCATGCCAACAACTGGTTTTAGAATAAATGTGTTTATTTCAGATGCAAAGACCCTATGAGTGAATCAATATTAATTCAACAAAATGCCATCTTTAATGATCTGACAATAGATAAAACAACTTTTTTGCACCTGTCATAAGTCAGGAACCTTTGGCCTTTGTTAGTCTTGTATGTTTTTTAATTTTGGTTCAATTATATGTTTTGGAGTTTAGTGTGACGTCCATTTTCATAGAACTGGTATACATTTTTGTTTAGGGACCAGCTGAGGCCCACATAAGGGTGCGGGATTTTCTCGCTGTGCTGAAGACCCATTGGAGGCCTTGCGTTATTTTATGCTCTTTGGTCGGGTTGTTGCCTCTTTGACACATTCCCCGTTTCCATTCTCAATTTTATGATTTACAGGTAAATTACCTTTTTTTCTTGTTTATAAACTTACAATGTACATCTATTTGTTGCCTCGTTCTTGTTGATGTACCAACCGAGTTTGTAGCGATACATGAATACTGTCCGATATGCTTCATTAAAACTGTTGCTATGGTTAAGACTCCACCCCTGATGTTACCAGCTGGATTAGTCCATTGATACATAATATCATCTGAAGGATTAGCGTCATCTACTACACTTAAACCATTGTGGTGACGTCAGCCTATTCATTTACCGTGGATTCTTTTTCTAGAATCAACGCTTCCTGAATCTGCCGCTGAAATGGACTCACCAAATTATATTCAATTGTTTCCTTTGTGTGTCTAATTTCATTAAGTTTGAATTGGCTAATTTACTGATTTCTGTTCACTAATGGAATTAATTTAAAAACTTACTTTTAATTTTTGTAATTTGTATATGCCTTCACTGGGAATCGAACCCTTCCTTGAAATCTGTTATGAATGACTGACATCAACATATCGACGAAACCTCTCGGCTACCAATGGGTTACAACTTAGATGTCTATTTTATATATATAAATGAACATCGGACACACAGGGGTTGTACCTTTATATATACACAATGGGCAGTCGTATAGTATAAGTTGGTAGCCGCGAGGTTAGCATGCTTAAAATCAACGAGTTAAAAGATGGGGATTTGTCGGTTTAGGTTCGAATCCCTGTATTATCTCTGTTGTCCCAATTCTGTTTTTTTTTCTAATTTTGCATGTTATAGTGGATATTTTTGTAATACATGTAATAGCGTGTTTTACCGTTTATTTTTTGGATTATTATTGGCTATTTCACATGTTTGAAACAAAAATGATTACATTCTATTTGTCAATTTTTGTTGTATAAATATAGTATGATTTCATCTGTTTTACTACATAATTTTACAAATATTTGTTCCCAAATTCCTATGCTAGAAAATCGTGATGTGCCTAGAGTGCTAGAAATTTCGGTAACATACTTATTACATATACTTTATATATGCTCTTTGGTCGGGTTGTTGTCTCTTTGACACATTCCCCATTTCCATTCTCAATTTTATTAGAAATAAGTTCGAAAATGTCTTATTTTGTAAAAACAGATAATATTCAGATGCCTGATAATATAAAGATCTTTAAAGGTAGAAGTGTTATATTTTTATTTTGTTAACCAATTAATTGTGATCTGAGAATTATCAATGCATCGTTGGACACGATAACATGGTTATTTAAACTCACTTACAATACCTTCTAATTAAGAAAAAGCTTTAAATTTGAAAAGAAATTAACACAATAGTTTAAGTTATAGATACAATGGATAAGCGTAGATTCATGAAAAACAAACCATTCGCCCCCCGGGCTCATGGTTTTTTTTTCAAGAATCCACGCTTATCCATTGTATCTATATAACATATCAATCGGACGTTTTGTTGTCCTTTTTGCACGATGAATGGAATATAGTGAGGTTCAATGTGAACTGACGGTGAATCTTTAATTGATCAATCAAAGCAATATATAAATCATCAGTGAACATTGTTTCATTCTGTTTTATATATTGTAAAGGTTTTATTCAGTTTAGATATTGATCCTTTATGATGCTAATATGACTGAATTGATTGTTATTTGTGGTAAAAAAAATGTTGTGATTTGGTTATATACACTGATTGAAACAATAGGAAAAGGATTGACTTCCTAGACAGGGTTAAACTTTACAACCACATGTGAACATGCTTATTCAAACATAATATCGATTTCGGAAGGCACGACAAGCGTTTCTTGAATAACCACCAGGCATGTTAGATACTAAATAACTACAAAGTGTTTTTTATATAAACAGTACAGACACATTGAATCGAGGTTAAAAGGGATAGCAAAATAAGCCCATTCGCAATTGCCAAAGGAAGAGGCAGAAATATTACCTAGTGATGTCACGGTTTTATGTTGCATTTAGTGCTGATATCAGTTATTTTCTGATGATATGGTTTAAACACTTCTTTGAGTTGATAAACTAGATGCTAATTTTGGAAAAATTATGTTATCGGATTTTTTTAATTCGAACAAGTGGTGTATTTGTCGTTCACTAGATGAAATATTTAATATTAAAAAAATCTCGTTGACGATTATATACTTTAAAAAGATAACACGGAAATGAATTGTAATAAAACCAATATTTCAATTTTAATATATTTTTGTTTTATTCTTCCATGAAAAAAAGGCTTGGCTCCTATTCCATAAGATTTGCACTTACATTGAACATTGACATTAAAAATTTCCTCTGATGTCCTGTTCTGTGGGAGATGTCCTGAAGCTGTTATAGTGTTCATTGCATGACAGATGTAGTGACCACTTGAATTTCTCTGTATGTTACTGATTATAAGATTCGAATCATTACACCTGAAACCGGTTTCATTTTGATGAGTCCACCATACAGATACAGGGTATGGATTAGCATCAATAGAAGGTGTAATTGTCAGATTAGATCCTTCTGTTATGCTGTAATCTGGTATATTGAAGATCAATGGTTTGTCTATACAAATGAATACTTTTTTGGTGAAATTGTACTGTTGAATAAACATTATATATACCGTTATATTGTATATAATAATATTAAATAAAATGTCAATTTTATTTTGACGGCTTTATGCACTGGGAATTGTTGAAAATTTATAACACCTTAGGAGGTAATAACAATATATTTTTAAGGTAATGAGTCCGTAAAAAAGGTCAAAGTGTACCATATCCTCTCGTACTATTTGATGTTAATAAAATGAATTATTACTTTAACGTTGTATGAAATATCCTTAGTTTGTTTGTTTGTTTGTTTGTCTTTTCTCAATATGTACATGTAGTGTGCCCAATAGTGTTCTGTCAACCATTGTTTGTTCTTTCTGTTTGGCCATGGTGTTGACTGTCTTTTTCAGCTTATGGCTTTCATTGCTCCTGTAACATAAACCATTTTATAGTTTGATTGGAATAAATCCTAGAAACATTGACCTTAGATGAAATTGATCATCGGTATAAATCGTCTTTGGTGATACAGTTTATTACGTTGTAAAATCCCTAGCTTTGAAATGTTTAGGTTTCAGTTCCGTTCTTGATGAAGGTAAATCCAGAAAAGCAGTTCTGACGCACGACATGTATGAACTGTTTTTAGCTTATTTATGACACTGACACTGGGCCAATACCACTGTTGGTTATCTGTTAGTGAATGTCATCAGACACTGATACAAAAATAAGTTTGTGGTTGAAGATAGCAATCTGTTCTTCTTAGGTAATAAATATATCAAAGTTTTTCAGTGTATAACCTATGACGAACCAACAGTGATATGCCATATGATTTCACATCTATAAATAATAGAAACCTTTAACCATTGTCATAGATGTCTATATTTAATTTCATTATCATATAAACAAAACAAATTATTTTGAAATAAATAGCCCAATCCCTTTAAACCTACATCGAGCTAGCACATTTCTTTGTGACATGATTAAAGCCATATAAAACGAGTCTCTTGTAATTTTAATGTTATCAAAACCATTCAGCCAATGCATGCAGATATTCTTACCTAAGTCCTGTATGCACGGGTTTTTTTAATACTATTACAACTCTATAGCGTATTATCGACAAAAATATTTCATTCATTAATGTTGATATCAAGCTCATTAACTTTCGTGTTTGTTGCCGAAGTTAACTAAATCGTGACATTGATAAAAAAAATGAACACTGAACACGTAGAGCACGGGCCACACCCGTGAATTTATAGAGGCTTTATATGTTTTTTTTTAATATTTTCCATGCGTTCCTATTTGTTAATCTAACGTTTCCTGAAGGATGCACACCTCTGAGGAGCCAAAAATTTCTAGAATTAAACTTTTTTCTTAACCTGATTATTGGGTTCATATGACTTCAGAAAGTAATTGATAAAGAAAAAAATCATATGGTGGTGTACTCCTTTTTTTGCTACGGCCATTCGAAAGTACTCATTTTTAATGATTTTCACACATTTTTCATCAAATTTTACCTATTTTGGGGCTATTATCACGAACAAAATCAGTTTCACAATTAAACCTTTTTTACTTAAGATGAAATGGACCAATCTAAATAAATTTAACTTAAAAAACTATAGGTTGGTGTTAAAATTAGAAAGTTTTATAAAATTTTGTTGCTTTTTCATGTGAAATTGACCGTGCTGTCAATTTTGTAAATTTGTGATTTTTCTCTCTCTTTTTTAAAAGAGAAAACATTGATATGGGATGTACGTATTTTGGTAAAATCATTTCTTTTTACTCCTCGCCCATTTTCTCAACATTGAAGGCTGATGACAATGATCGGATTGGTTATAAAATTACAGTAAGTACACAATTTTTTCATAGAGTTTAGTTTGATAATAATATTTTTTAAATTCATTGATATTTTCCACTTGTATCACATGTTTCGGAAATAATTCCCGAACGTGATTTCAACGAGACTGAAACATCAGAAGAATACATCTTTAACAGTTATTAAATAGTTTGTTGTACATAATGTGTTCTTTAAAAATCGGTTATTTCTATTTATCTTCCAGTGCACGTTTATTTACATTCTTTCATCACGATTTCCCCTCGCACTTGCGTTGCGCGGTGACCTAAGTTCTTACGAGAGGTCTCGTAGTTAACGTCGCTGCATCTGTAAAAATATCCGCGAATTAAGTTACGGGAAAACAATAATTCAGTATCAGTACATTTATGACAATTTTGATTATATAAATGATTTTCTTCCACAAGAATGTTTACAGACACTTGTTTAATTGTAAAACTTATAATACATCTTTATATTCTTTTTGGGCGGGGAGGGGGGGATTTGAAGTTTTATATGACTTTAACAAATAACAGAATAATTTATACATACACAAAATATCAATACTTCGGTTAAATGATCTGACACTTTGTCCCTCAAAATTTACAGCTGTGCAAAAAATGTCTTTCCAGCGTCGGTTGAATTACCGATGTATTCAAAAACACTTGACGATGTGACTTTTCCATCACACCCAGGATTACATCCGTCAGCCTGCGTAACAGCAGCATCAGTAATATTTGCACCAGAAAGATACCACTGTATCCTTGACGATGGCCGACCGGCGTTTGTTGTACATGTAAAGTGTTGACTTGAACCGGACAAAATTTCTGTTGGATTTAAATCATATGGAGTTGATGTTATATTGACTTGGGTAATTGGCACTGAAAAATATAAATACTGGTATCAAAAATACACAAGGCTTAACTCAATCAAAACAAGTTGCTTTAGTAGTATATGTTGGTATTACATATTAGTATTTACTTAGTCTGTTGCAAGAATGTACATTATGAAGAACACACCATGAACTGACTACCATAATAAAAAAAAATCCATTGGCTTATACACTTATATGAACCAAGGAAAGGAGATATCGAATGTGTCATACATGTGACAGCAATTGAACGACACAAACACCAAAAGAGTTGTAGATATCAACTAGACATTAGTGATATATAATGTCTAGGTGTCGTAAGATCAAAAGTTATAAGCAAAGTACATCATGTGCCAAAATCTTTAGGTCAATGTATAATTCATTAGAGGAATAGCAAATGTTGGTAAAAATATGGTGAACAAATGACAACGCTAACCACCGACAACCTATTCCTCTGGGGAGAAGAACGGACAAACAAAAGGCCAAAATTTTAAACATTGCTTGGTATGAGTCAAGTTAAAGTCAAGTTTTTTTTTCTGTATTCGGACCTGTACATGTATCAATAATATATTATCCTAAGTGACTTATGAACTAAACTATGTGCAAAACACGACGACGATTATTTGACTATGAAACGCTCACCAAGTTAAGTGAAAATTGCAAATGACATGTACATTATGAATAATTATGAATTGTTACTTACAGTTACCTATAACTTAAAATAGCAAGAAAACATAACGTTGATTATAAATCATAAATATTAAGTCATATAAACTTACCACAGGTGATTAGACATGTTCATTTAAGTTTGAATCCATAATGATGATGATTGATGGCTGATTAACGTCCAGCGGCAAATTAAATGCATATTCAGGACGAGAACACGGTAATGTGATATGAATATTAACCCTGGTTTGTAATTAACCGAGACGCTGAACCGGATTTTAAACTTGCTTATTTACAAGGTTATAGTCCGCAGGAAAACATGTCTTTGCTCTTATTTCTTAAAACCGCGTGCTGAGCGGAGAAGAAACAAATACAAATTTTAAAGTCTTTAATGTCTACAGTAGACAATAAAAAACTCACTGTCATATATCTCAAAGGCACAAGACGAATAAAACGTACGGCAAATGTTCTTATACCGTATTCAGGATTGACTTATGTATGAAATATACAGGTACATGTAAACCTATTGTGTCTTAAACTTCTGTTACCTCTACTTTATGCTTACATATCGAAACATTGTACCATTGCCGTTTCATTAAAAGAGAAGAGAATGATACAAAAGGTACATCTAAACTCATAGGTCGAAAATAAACTGACAAATCCACGGCAAAAAAAGAGACAGATCAAAATATAAACAACATAATACAAAACACAACATAGAAAACAAAAAACTGAGCAACACGATCCCCATTAAAATCAAGGGTGATCTCAGATGCTCCAAAAGGGTTAACAAATCCAGCTCCACATGAGGCACTCGTCGTGCTGCTCATGTAAATAAAATTCAAGTGATAATAATTCGGTAGTTCGCATTTGGGGGGAAAACGTATGACAAAAGTACCGAACTCCAAGGCAAATTCAAAAAGGGGAAATTCCTTAAACACTGACACAATCAAACGCTATAAATCAACGGAACAAATGAAAAACAAATGAAAAAGAGGACGGGATGTTTTTACGATGTGAAACAGATATTCTAACTCGCGATGGCATCTGTAAAGTTTTCGAAGGGATTATTCCAACTGCACCATTTAGACCTCTTGGTTTAATAACTTCCTTGTGATGAAAGATGAAACCATGATAGGAAACGCAAGCCCTGGAATATCGTTTTAACTGGGAGATAAATACTTGTGTGCAAGCGCAGCTGGAATGTTGATATATAGAAATGGAAAGTTCACAATTGGGAAGCTAAAATCATCTCGTTTGTCGTAAAGTTTTGTTGTCAATCGACATTTAAAGTACGTTAGAAGTTATCCTATATACGTGAGTAATTACACGAGTATCATTGGACGTATATAAGAAATATATACAAGGGCATAACAACCCCTATGCATAAACAGTTGCGCACATACTAAACGTATTTAAAGAGGATAACCCAAACAGACCTCTTCATTCTGCCTTCAGCAGTACCTTGGCATTAGAAATGAAACAGATGAATGTATGCTACATGTAGGTACGCCCTTGGTAGCCATATATTCTTGGATGATTATTTATAACTGCCAAAGGTCTGAAAATTATTTCCATGTGTACTCATTGAATAATCATAACAGTAATATTGGTATATTATGCATGCAGTAATTGTAATAGCTCTTATAGAAAATCATGCATTTACATTCTTATTAATTCAAGTATTAAATTGCCTATAACTATCAAAATATGGACTTATTTATCTTTCACGATCAAATATGGTAGAAAATTTTAAAGATTCTACTTTTTGTAAAATAATCCAAACCCTTAACAAAAAATAAATTATTGTATTTTACTTTATTAACTGATATACTAACGATTAAGTTTCAAATATACATTATATACATTTGTAGCATAGCATATTGGAATTTGACAATAATTGGTTCTTACACGTGTTTTTCTTAAATTATTTGCATAGTATTTTGTCTCGCCTATTGTGCTTTTTTAAGAACTGCATTTTTTCTTGACCTTAATGCGCAGTGTGAATAAGTAATAATAATCATTTTGAAAGAAACAATTGTTTGACGAGTAACAACATTTGCATAGTGAAAAAACTGACACTGACGAATAATATGTAGATGAAATGCACGTCCGATGTACCAAATGATAAGCCTCATATCTTTGATGAGTGTTTGCAACCACTGGGTAGATGCCACAGCTAGTGAACGTTTCGAGTTGACACGAAATTTTAGCATTATGCATGGTATATATATGTTCTTAAATTCTCTATTTATAGAATGTTTGATTATTTCAAACAGTTAAATTTCCTGAACTGTATTTAACACACATTTTTCGGAATTTTCTTTTTTTAAAGCTTCAAATTCATATTTATTTTGCCTTCTAACTGTTTTGAATTGAGTGTCACTGATTGAATCGCGCGTCTGGAGAACCAAATTATAATCCTTGTATCTTTGATGACTTACAAATAAACATAATTATATCTAACGCTACGTACCATATACATACAGCTGCACCGTATTTGAGATTTCATCTCTATTGATACCTCGACATGTCCAAAGAGATCCATGTAAGGAGTCTATATCAAATGTTCCAGGTATCGTCAAAATGATAGATTTATAGTTGCAGGTACAATTGAAGTTTGGATTGCTATAATATAGTCTACAAGTACCATCAACCCCCATGGCACATTCATACTTGTCATATATGTAAATAATCACGAACACAAAGTATCCATCATAACTACAAGTCAAGTTAAAGTCTTTTCCAGCAGTTGCTTTGTCAGATGATGTTGAAATTATAAATGCTACAAATAAAACAACGTGTTTAACTTTTGCTGATTTAAAGGAGAGGCGACAGATACCAAAGGGACATTCAAACTCATAAGTAAAAACAAACTGACAACGTCATTGCAAAATAAAAATAAAAAGACCAAAAGACAAACAACAGTAGACAAAACACAACATAGAAAACTAAAGACTGAGCAAGTTCAATTATCATTTATGAGAAACAATAATTACCTTAACTATATCGATTTCAGTTAAAGACCTAAACTAAATATATAATAATGTCATCTTGATTCTTTTATGTATAACAGTATCGAAAGCGTACTGATACCAACAACATGAACAAAACAGGCAAACAGTTAGTGTCTTTAATTGTTAAAGTCACTTGCATTGTTGCATTTATAAATAGTTAGACATATTAATTTCGACACAAAATATTTGTTAAATACCTGAAGTCAGACACGTATTTTTAAAACTTTCTCTAAAGCTTTTTAGAAGTCATAATTGTCCATTCATTTTATCCTTTTATAACTGATCGTATCTAACCAAGGTGATATATTACCGTTTAGATGTAGAATAGCTTTGGAAATTACAGACTCTGCAATGACAGACTCCAATTTGTTGAAACAATTTACATTTTCTTCATATGGAACGTGCAACTATATCAAATGGCTTAATACTTATCATTTTGAAAGTAACTAAATACTTAAACCGTCAACAGACCTGTCTGATAAAACGAATCAACTAAGGTCAGCTACATGTATCAGCACTACGTTAAGACAAAAAGTGTATAGGGGATAAAGGTAAGTTGAACAACGTCCTTCTTCCCCTGAGTTAAATATTTTTTTAAACAAAAGTTATGGATACATGTTGGGTTTTTTAAAATGATATACATTTAGTAATTCAGTCTTCAAAATATCCCAACATCCCTTTCAATATAAAACAGATAATATAAAGGTGTGTATCAAAACGACATGAGTCCACACTATCTCCATTTGCCAATGGGGGTTCTCTGGTAAATCACAAGACAATCTGATATGACCCTTTTTGTGAGTGTTATCTTCATTTTTCCCTCTGTAGTTGTTTCATGTTTCTAGAATTGGAGCCAGTTCTTTTTAAAGGGTGATCATGTCTTATATAGTTGAAGTCACATCATTGTAACAGGCTGATTTATCACAGGACGGACACTCAGGTTATGTCAACTCCCTTTTATATATGGTGATTCCCTCGTACCAATTAATAACACGATGACCTGAGGTCACAATCTTCCTTTTGATAAACCTTTTTCCTTGTAGTAATACATTTGTTTTTATCATAGGTACATAAGGGTATCTCCTTATGATAAGGTGATATTTCGCAACATCATGATGTCTCTTCGATTTAATAGGATGATATGTTACAAAAACCTGAGGTTACATCTCCATTGCATAGTATTATTTTGCATTAGTGATTTACATTTTCCAAATGAGGACCTGAGGTCCCCCTTCCCTTTTGATAAAAACATTATCTATTATACTATATCATATTAATAAATATTAATATAAAGATGCAAAAATTTGTAAAGAATGATATTTCACACGGACTTATAGGGTGGATCAAAGTTCTTATTATTCCGCTTGAACTTTTTTGTTTTGATTATGATGATGATTGATGGCTGTTTACATACAACGTCCAGTACGACTACAAAGATATTCAGGACAAACATATGTTTACTTGGTATGAATATGAACCTTGCTTTGTACTTTACCGACAAGCTTTTTTAGAGAGTTTTAAAGAGTTAGCCCAGAAGGTAACAGTTGATATGAAATCATGTCTTCCTACAAATCATTCTAACCAAGGAGCAACCATTTTTTTGTTTTTACTCGTTCATACCTCATGCTTTGAGGAGAAGCATCAAATACTAATTTCTAAGTCTTTGGTTTACCCTGGCCGTGGAAGAACCAACGATTAACAACGATTGCAGCGATCACTCTACCACGAGACCACCGATGCATTGTTTTGTTAGACAAAATATTTATTCGCAAGCTTTAGGCAACATCTCCATCACCAGAAACTATCAGTGGCAACATGTTTCTTCCCACAGCGAAATTACTATATATTAAACGTAAAGATTGTTATAGTTGTATTTTTGGGTTATTTGGCGCCAAACTTAAGTACAACGAAAAAAATCATCATTAATATGAAAAATGCAAAATTATGAGCAATGATAATGATAAAACAATTAAATCAATCAAATTCCTAACCACTATAATTTGATTTAACGAGGGAAGATTAATTTACAATTATTATATAACTAGTAGGCTATAACACATCAAATTGTGTAGTAGTACAAGTATACCTTTCATCTGAATACAAAGTAAAAATATTTTGAAAACACTTCATTCAATTGATAGAAAATCAGATTTAAAAGTATTGCAATTAATATGCTCTGATCATTTTTGATTAATTCCTCTCTTATTCTTATTCTAATGTGTCACTTTAATTATTGAATTTAACCTATTACATAATTAAATAACTAGGGCAGAAGTGAAATAATGACATTAACAGATACTGTAAATATTCGTCACATCGAAATTTAACCACTGCTGACTTGTGCTTATATCTTATTTTTTATGTTATAAAATTTAAAAACAGTAAAACAACACTTTATAAATTGCATGTGTCCGAAGCGCATTTCTGAAAAGAACCAATGATTTTACATAAAAGTACACATTAAAAGTATAATACCTGATATGCATGTTTCAATGGAAAGTAAATATAAAGCAAATCTCCATAAATATACATTCATCATGCACAGATATGAACAGAGTTATACTTCCGTTTTGATCAGTTATCTTTATAGTTTGAAATTCTTTTATCTTAATATAACAAAAGATGTCGAAATAAAAGGTTTGTACAAACATGATCACATGAGTGACTTGAAATAAAAGAATACATTTGTAATATTTGTTTTTATATATATCATATTGCTCGGAGAGACAACTAAGTCAGATATACGTCTTACAACTTAGGATGTACGAGGGAAGATAGAAACGATAATACTGCTTCCTTGTGCAACGACTATTGTGTCCTTGTACATTTTGTAAGTTGCACTCGTGGAAAGCTTTTAAACTTTTGTCAGTGAAACACAAAACCAATTATAAGTTCTTGATTTTTTGGGGTTTTTTTTTGGGGTGTTTAAGGTAGTTACATTTTTACAATACTGGTGGCAGCGGTGGGCTTATTCATACCTCTTATTTACATTGTAAAAATGTAACTACCGAGCGGAATAGTATAGAAAAGGCTGCAAAGTGAACTAACAGTTCTAAATCAAAAAAATGTTATTGCCTTCATACAAACAGCCAGCCCAATTGAAATTATATCTTTCAGACATTTTACTGAAATCAAATGAAGACTTGTAAATTGTGAAAAAATAACTGACAGCAGGTACCTTGACTTGAACATCTTACATTCCTTTCTGAACAGCAACAGCCCAGGGTGGAACATCATCAGATTGATATTTCTTTAATCTATCACGATGAACAGTCTCTGATTTGTATCAATTTTTATTTTATAAAGGACAGGACTCAAAACATCTACTACTACAAATGGACCAGACCATCTTTCGAAAAATCTTTTGGAAATATTATTGAATTTGTAAACAAGTGAGCCTTTACAAAATTGATTTTGAGATATACGGATGTCGTAATCTCTTTTCTGTCGTACAGCAGATGACCGCATATTTTCACGTGCTAATTGGTAAATTTCCTCCAATTTCGACTTCAACTTGGACACGTAAGTGTCGACTTCCATAGACTCATTACAGTTTTGAAAAGGGAATATAATCTGAGGGGATAAAGTTATCTCCCTGTCATGAACCTTCAGTCTGGTTATTGGCAATTGGAAATGGCACCGGAAGATCGACATAAAACTGCATTCATTACGAAATATGGTCTTTTTGAGTACACTAAGATGCCTTTTGGACTCTGTAATGCTCCCTCAACTTTTCAAAGATGTATGGAGTTAATTTTTCGTGGAATGCAATGGAAAACCCTTTTGATTTATTTGGATGATATTATAATGTATAGTTCAAATTTAGAAGACCATTTTAATAAATTAGATGAAGTTCTAGGTAGATTATAAAATGTTGGTTTGAAACTTAAACCTTCTTAGTGTGAGTTTATTAAAGATCAAGTCCTTTATTTAGGCCATACTGTTAGTAAAAAAAGCATTAGTCCAAATCCAAAAATTGTTGAATCAGTTAGTAAATGGCAGGTTCCAAATTCAGTCAAGGAAGTTCAGCAATTTTTTGTCTTTGTAACTATTATCGACAATTTGTTCACAAGTTTATCGAAATAGCATCTCCTTTGAGTAGACTAACTAGAAAAGATGTTCCTTTCAATTGGTCAAGTGAATGTCAAAGTTCATTTGAAATATTACGGAAAGCTTTGTGTGAAGCTCCAATTTTGGCATATCCCTTACCAGAAGGTCATTTTATTTTAGATACTGATGCGTCTAATATTGGTATCGGGTCAGTACTATCTCAACTTCAAAATGGGAAGGAAAAGGTGATTGCCTATGGGTCCAAAAAGTTGGATAAACCGTAACAACGATATAGTGTAACCAGACGCGAGCTTTTAGCAGTCATTACATTTGTTCATCAGTTTCGCCGTTACTTGATTGGTCGAAAATTTTTGCTAAGGTCCGACCATGCATCCTTGACATTGTTGTTTAATTTTAAAGATCCACAGGGGCAGTTGGCTAGTTGGCTTGAGACCCTTTCACAATACAATTTTGAAATTCAACACAGACCAGGGGTTAAACACCACAAGGCTGACTCGCTTTCACGACGCGAATATGACACATCACTCTGTGACCATATTAAACAGGGAGTTTGAAATCCTGAAAGTCAAAATTGCAAATCTATAAATGCTGATTGGATAGATTTTAAAGCTGATGTAGATAATGTCACTAAATCAAGTGATAACCCATTTATTTTTTAAAATTTGTGCTGTCACAAGAAGTCAA